TTTTCTGCCCTCTATTGTTCTAAGTTCCTTTTTATGGCTACTTCGATCGAGGCGCTCAAGTGTATTACAGCTAAATAAATGGCGAATTTAATTAAAGAGATCATTTCGATCTTCATTTTCAAAAAATTTAATACAGTATTGTAAAAAACGGTATTGTAAAATTTTATTTTAAACAGAAGACCAAATATAACCGAAAATACAAAGCGACGTGTAATGAGGATATGAAATTCATCGAATATTTCTCATCTGTCGCATGCTGACAGGATGCGTGACACATGATTCCACTTTGCTTCTCAGAAAATATATATATCAAATATGTGTGTCGCGTCCGACCTGTCATTTTTTTTATGATAATATTTTTATCAAAATTATGTTCACGTAAATATCCATTTTGGCAAAGCTCTGATCTCATCTATAAGAAAAATTAGAAAATATTCATTGTAAATGAAAATAAACGATGAGCGTTCTGAAAATCAGAAAAATAGTCGTTGCTACGGTTTAATTATAAGTTGAAAAGAATCTTAACAGCATTTGAAAATATTAAGATACTACCGCCACAACAGCCGCATAATCTTTCAACAATGTCAATTTCATTTCGCAATAACTTAATTGACTTATATATCTTATTAGCGCACACTTTGCAATTCCGCAAATGGAATGTTGAAGGATTCTCCAGATACTCCGTTGAGTCCTTTGGAATGGTCACGCATCCATACAATCGAGAAATCTAATTACATTATAGCTACATTGCACGATCTCTCCAATGAAAATATTGGTCAACGCATCGCGATAAATAAACCTTTCTATGTGAGCACAATATATGACAAAATTAATCAATCGCCAATAAAATGCCGTCGAAAATCCGAACGGCGGTTTCTATTTCATGCATGCCGGCCTATTCTCTCGCCCATAAAACGCCGACCACCTACACACCTCGACCTGAATTTCGGACATTCCATTCCCACTATACATGGTTCCCCATAGATTCGGGATTATTGAGCTCTCGCAGAGCGTCTCAGCTCGATAAATAATGTATCCCCTTGCCCGCGCGTGCTTCGTCGTGAGTCATGACGATGAGAGAGCGAAAGAGAGAGAGAGAGAGAAAGAGGGACAAAGGGATCGGCTAATTATCAAGAGGCTGGCTGGATTCTCGATCGATATGTTCGAGCGATTGCAGGAGCTTTGTTGGTCTTGCAGACTCGTGTTTGTTTGGCTGCGCGACTACGTTACAATTAGTGATAGATGCCATCATCCCAGCGCCTGGTTTCTGATGGAACTTTACTTGCTTTATGAGGCAGTGTAATTAAAGCTGTTGAAAATCTTTATCCTTCGGGTTTTCTTATATCCTTAATAGTTTATACGGATAGTAATTTAATGTAACTTGCATTGTAAACGATTGAAAGATGAATTGATTCAATTCTGAAAAACCGGATTTCAATCTAGTCTCCTTGCCTTAATGTGCTAAAACATGCGCAGAGATTTATAGAAACGTGTCTCCTTCAAAGCTCATTTCAATGTAATTACATTTATCTGCAGCTATATCATTGCATGATTTTGCATATGAAATACATCGACGCGAGAACGGAATAATGCATAAAAATTCGAAAATAATAATTGGCAATTGGCAAGTGAAACGCGCAGAAGCTGCTGTGCGTAAAGAAAAGAGCGAAAATGTATGACAATCGAGCGGACTCTATAGCTGCAATTCAATTTATGTTGATTCGAGAAGGAAAAAGGTGAACGACTAAGCGAATGACTGGTCAATTGCATAGCACAGAGTGAAAGTAATCTTTAACGTGCTATGTGTTGTATATATACGTAAACTAGAAGAAAAGTAAAACTTGTCAACGACTGTGTGGTTGCACAGAAATGCAAGGATTTTCCGGAGTTATGCACGCTTGTTTCAATATTCCATCTGCATTATCGTGATGACTTTCCAGTGTATATTTATACCCACGCTCGCTTGGATAGACAAACTATATTATGCCACTCGAAGGACTACCGCACTGAATGGTGGTGTATTGTATTGTACCGTTGGAAACATAATGTGAAAATGAATATTACAATGCGTTTAAAACGTGCTTAAAAGTGAAATCTACGTAAAGAACTCGACAAAGTGAAAAGTTACACGAATGATTTTTTAATAGTACCAGTTCTGTATTTTAAAGATTAAAAAAGCTATAATTTATACTACATTTATTCTTTCATTTTCATTCACAGCTGTTCATAAAATCTCATTATATCTATACCAATCTTATTTAATGATTTTCTCTAAAGTATTTCTAAACTTGTTTATGTATAATAAACCTTTCTAAGCAACTGCAATAAATGTATTCTTTTTAAAACTTCAATTATTTTCCTGAATTGTACCTGTTGTTGTTAGCAGAAAATAAGTTATCAAAAATTTATATAAATTTATTGATGATAAACAGTTCAATTTATAAACAACAATCATCATGCTATTTTATATAGATATCCCTATTTTTAAATTAAAAAAAAATGATTAAATAAAATTGCTATTGATATAGTGGGATTTGAAAAGAAAAGAGAATGATAATGAAGTAATAAATCTAAAATAAGTAATATAACTTTTCTTAATTTTTGAAATAAAGAACAGATACTGTTGTAAAGGCATTCACGTAACTTTTTACTTTATCAAGATTTTTTTTATTTATTTTTTTTTATTCCTTGCCAAATACAAATCTACCTTTTTGATACTCCGTGCGCTCAAAGTCGAACTTTGCACACGATGTATCAAAATAGTACATTACGATACCAGTACAGGAAAGTAGCTAGATCCTCGCTTCGCTCGAGCGTAAACGCCATACGAGACAAGAAACTCTGACCCGAACATGTGTCGTACCGTATTTTTCGAAACGATTTATGAAAAGTGCAATTCGCAACGCACGTTTTTTGCACGGAATGTCGAAAAATACCGTATAATAATTTTTTCGTGAAAAAGATTCTCGCTTTACTCGGGCGTAAACGCTACATGAAATAATAATCTGCCTTTCCGCATTTGTATTGTATTGTACTATATATTCTCTAACGTTCGTCTGCAAAACAAATGTAAATGAAAGGACTTACCATGACGTCATATTGTCATATGGCTGCGGGTCAGCAAGTTTTAAACTAACTTGAAAGGTCGTTTGAAGTCCCCTTGCTCCTTTTGAGGTTGTCAAATCCCACTCCTACTACCTCTAATCCTAGCCAGAGATTAGGAGACAATCTCTGCTCTAGCTACACTTTCTACAAATAGTAGATTACGTACTCAATAGATGCTACTGCTACGTATCAAGGTTATTTACAGTTAGTAGCATATCTTGGAAGAGCACACACCAAATAACAGCTAGATAGGTTTATTTTGTTTAACATTCGTTTGAATCCAAGAAATTGGATAGTTATCAAAAAATGGATGAAAAATAATTTCGTGTGTTGATTAAACATTACCTTATTAAACGCAAAACGCCTCAGGAGACTAAACAGAAGCTTGATAAACATTATATGATTATGCACCTCCAATCAGAATGGTTTATAAGTGGTTTCAAAATTTTCGAAGTGGCCATATGAGCACAAAAGACGCTGAACGTTCTAGAAGCCTTGTTGAGGTAACCACTCCAGAAATCATTAATAAAATCTATGATATGGTGATGGTTGACAGAAGAGTGAAGGTACGTGAGATTGCTAGTGCTGTAGGTATTTCGAACAAACAAGTATATATAATATTTTGGACTAACATTTGGATATGGAAAAGTTATCCACTAGGTGGATGCCGGAATTGTTCACGATTAACTAAAAACAAGATCATGTGAAGTGTTGCAAGAACGGTTTGCAGCTGTTCTAGCGAAATCTGCAGGACTTTAAGCATCGTTTCGACGCTGTGAATGAAACATGGATACATCATTACACTCCTGAAACCAAAAAAACAGTCTAATCAATAAATTGCCAAGGAAGAATCTGCACCAAAAAAGGTAAAGACTGTTCCTTCGGCCGGGAAGGTTACGGTATCTGTATTTTGGGATTCGCAAAGAATAATCTTCATCGACTATCTACAAGAGGGTAAAACCATAACAGGTGAATATTATTCATCGTTATTGGATCGTATGAAAACCGAGAAAAACACAAGAAAAAACGTCCACGATTGGCTCACCAAAAATTTCTCTTCCAACACAACGTACTAGCTCACACCTCAGCAGTTGTGGCCGCAAAACTTATGTAAATAGGATCAAATTCATTTCACATCCCCACATTTCTCCAGATTTGACTGCGTCGGACTATTATTAGTTCCCTAATATGAAAAAATGGCTGGTGGAGAAAAAATTTTATTCAAACAAAGAAGTTATTGCAGGAATGAATGTCTATTTTACAGATTTAGACAAATTCTATTATTTGGAAGGAATCAATATACTAGAGCAGCGTTGGATAATTAAGTGTAAAAGCCTAAGAGGAGACTATGTTATAAAATAAAAAAGATATATTAAAAAAAAATCAAATAATTTCCATTTTTGCACTGACTTTTTAAACGATCCTCCTATGTTTCCCATACTTTGAATATCAAGTAAAAATTTAGGTATAACCGTCAATAAGCAGTCATTAATTAATCGACTAGTTTGAATAAAATATATAACATTTCTTTTCTAAAACATGAATTTTGTAGAATTATCTTCGCTAATTAATATTTCAAGAGTAACAAACACTGCATATATTCGTAAAAATTTAATTATCTCATTATTTCATATAACAATACAAAACAACCCATACATCGAACCCATGGTTCCATAAAAATAAGAAAGTAATTTACGCGTGTTGTCTTAGTTAATTAGGGTGTTTTTACCAAGGAAAGCTTTTTTGCTCGATTATGTTCTTCTCTATATTGGTGGACGCTGCCCCTCCCCTCCCCCTCCCCCATGCTAGATTTTCGTGAGCAAAAAATATGCCAGCGTCCACCAACGCCAGCGTCAGTTGCTTTGCTTGCGCCTAGTATATGAGTATACGATTTTCTATTCACGTAGCTGACGACCTAACCTCACTCCTTTTCTTTTCTTAAATAGGTGTATGTATTTCACCATTATTTACATGGATATCGTTTTTTCCTAAGGAAAGCAACTGCTGAGGATGCCGTACTTTAGCCAGGAGGACAATTAATATACTCACCACCAGTACGAACGTTACTTTCTTTCTCTTAAGTACGGCTGAACGATAGCGTTGACATCAGCATGGGCAATCAGCTGGTGGGAATCGCACCAAGCCAAATTTTTCCTGTTGAGCACTACTTGACAGATCATTCTGAGTACAAGTTTGATGCCAGGTGAAATAGCTGAATTATTAGAGCTTGTCTTTAAATAGTATTCTTGATTAGTCTATATTATTTCACATGAATAATGAGTGCATTTTAGATAACATTACATGCATGATAAGTCTATTGATAAATTTCTTTCAGTCATCAAATTACTTTTCAGTTTCATTTAGCTTAATAGCTTTCATAACTTTATAGTTTTCTAATTACAATTACTAATCAATTGCAAATATTACTTCTGACAAGCAGTATTTCATTCATAAAAATAAATTATTTAGTTTGTTCAACACTATATTTATTATTTACACTTCTTATTTACTTAGTAATTTTATGTCAATAAAAACAGCAATTACTAATATATATTCTACTAAATTACTCAGTTATTTAGAAGCAAATGCCAAAAAGCTAATGATAATTATTTTTGATAGTTTGGGTAGCACAAGGTTTTTCAAAGTGGCCCGAGCTAAAAGTCATGAAGGTCTGATTGTTGTAAAAGTGTTTGCAATACATGATCCTACACTACCTTTATCAACACATAGAGATAAATTAGAAGAAATAAGATCACAGTTAGCCTCAGCTGTTAATTGCTTGCCCTTTCAGAGGACAGTTGTAAGTTTACTTTTTTTATGCAACTCACTTCGTTATCTTCTCATACATACGTAATTATTGTTCAATAGCTAACAGAAAAAGCTGGCTTTATTATTAGAGAATATGTTAAATACTCTTTGTACGATAGAATAAGTACTAGGCCATTTTTATCAACTGTGGAAAAGAAGTGGATTACTTTTCAAGTACTATATTCGCTACATCAAGCTCATAAATTTGGAGTTTGTCATGGAGACATCAAACTTGAAAATATTATGATAACTAGTTGGAATTGGGTTTTGTTGACGGATTTCGCAAGTTTTAAACCAACATACTTACCTGAAGATAACCCAGCTGATTTTTCTTACTTTTTTGATACCTCCAGAAGAAGGTAAATTTTTAAATGTTCATATTATATATTTTTATTTGGGCTGATAATTGAGTTTTCACTTTTTTACCATTACATTATAGAACATGTTACATAGCACCAGAACGTTTTGTTAAGACACTAACATCAGAGAGTAACAACACATTACTCTTTCCTGAGCATGACATTAAGACAGGTGATTTACAGCCAATGATGGATATTTTTTCTGCTGGTTGTGCTCTCATAGAGCTCTACAATGAAGGCCATCCTCCATTTGATTTAACTCAATTGCTGGGTGAATTACATTGAAAATTGAATTTTTATATATTTGCGTGAAGAACGTCTATTAAAAATAATTTTATTGTTTATTTATAGCTTATAGAAATGGTGAATATTCTCCCAGTAAACATCTGGACAACATAGAGGATACAGGAGTACGGGAATTGTTAGCATCAATGATAGAAAAGAATCCATCGAATCGTAAAACTGCCGAACTTTATTTGTCGCAGACGCGAGATAAAGTCTTTCCGGAATACTTTTATAGCTTCTTACAATCGTACATGCAGATATTCTCAGCTGTGCCAATCCTGTCGCCAGACGAGAAAATGTGCAGACTAAAGAAGGACATTGACAGTATTACTAGTATGTTTAAAAGTAACAAAGAAGAAACAAAAAAAGAATCGGAAGAATTAAAGACAAAAAGAGAAGTAAAGCTTGAGTTGACTAAAGAGGATTCCGATCAGAGTGAAGACAATACTATCATAGAAAATATTAGCAATCAAAGTTTGAATAAAATTGAAGTAATAATCAATGAAGCTCCGAAATTTGATTCAAGTTCATCGTTGCTCGAGAAACAGGATAATAGCGAGGCTGTACTTGAAGTAAAAAATAAAAAACTGTCTATTGATGACGAAAAAGGATTGGTTATTATAACGCAATTAGTTACTTCATGCATCAGAGGACTGCATCATACTGATACTAAACTTCAAAGTTTAGAAATTTTATTAGAACTGGCTGAAAATACATCTGACGAAACAATATTAGATAGGCTACTACCTTACATTGTGAGTTGTACAATATTCCATGTCAAAATAATTTCATTCTAATTCTTCAACTATGTTAATTTATGATTGCAGTTTCACTTAGTTCACGATCCGGCACCAAGAGTTAGGGTATTGGCTATACACACATTGACGAAGTGTCTTCAGATGGTAAAAACAATCCCACCATCGGATGTCAATATTTTCACAGAATACATACTGCCAGGATTATCTCATCTGACGCTGGATCAAGCAGTAATGGTTCGCGCTACTTATGCAGAAAATATTGGTACTCTGGCTCACATTGCACTTCGATATTTGAATAGTTCTCATGTGCCAGCGACGGAGAATGAGGAAACTGTAAGACGTAGCTATGATATCGAACTGCAAACGTTACACGAAATGGTATTTTGTTTATAAATGATGCTTTTATTGTTTTTTTTATGAATTATTCAGATGAATACATTCAATTTATAATTTTTTATATGTAGGTGCAGCAATCTGTTTCATTGCTGCTGACAGATCAGCAAAATGTGGTTAAGCGGACATTAATTGAGAATGACATTCGTAAATTATGTACATTTTTTGGAAGACAAAAATCAAACGACGTGTTATTAAGCCATATCATTACTTTTTTAAATGATAAGGACGATAAGCAATTAAGAAAATCTTTTTTTCAATGTATTGTTGACGTGGCTGGATTCGTAGGTTGGCAATGTAGTCCGATTTTAATGCCTTTACTTCAACAAGGATTAACTGACCCGGAGGAATTCGTCACTACCAAAGCTATCAATGCAATGGCTGCTTTAACGGATTTGGGTCTTCTACATAAGTCTGCTTTATATCAGTTACTACGGGAAACTGTGGTTTTCTTGGTAAACGAATATTTATCACTGATTATTTGATTAATTAGTCATGCGTTACTTACATTTATCGATTTATTAGGTACACCCTAATTTGTGGATAAGACATGCTACCGTTGGATTCGTCTCATCAGCTGCACGAAATTTGAATATTGTAGATGTCCAGTGTAAAGTACTGCCAATGATACAGCCCTACTTGAAACATCACCTGATACAAATTGACAAACAGGTTTTGTTGCTTGAGGCTTTAGTTCCTCCGATCCCTCGCACAATCTTTGATGCCGTGGTAACGTATAATGAAATCGAAGACTTTTTCCACGTATTCGAACAAAGGCAGAACGCTAGGGCAAAGGCAACCACTGGTATTGTTCCACAATATAACGACATGAGCACAGCTTTACGTAACGTATGTAAAAATATCAATGATTTGAACGTTATTAATAACTTCAGTACCTAAAAAAATGTTATTTATATTTCAGCTATTCAGACGCTTGAATTCTGAGTCAATGACTGAAACTGTAGAAGACCAGTTACTAGTTATGAAGCCACACTTAATGAAAATCAACAAATATCGTACTTCAAAAGATATGAAACACTCTTATGGGACAGCAGATAGCAAACTTCAGTTTAACGTATCAAAAAACAAGTTTCACTACAACGTCATATATCTCCACCCTGAAAATAAGGGTGACGTAGGCCTTCCGTCGTTCAAAAAGTTAGACCGTAAAACTTCCGATAGTTCTACGGTAATTGCTTCAATGAATCCAGAATGGCGTACGATGTTCGCGTCTCAAGAAAATCAAGTAAATGCCAAGAACTTTTTATTTCAGTCAACGTATTTGTAAATGATCTAAAATTAACGCTTTACTGTTGCAGAATACAGCAATAAAAATAACAGACATATCTACAAGTGGTGGTAGTCCTAGTCAAAGTATCCATGGCAGTGACGTCCACTTGTCACCGCAACACAGTAGTCTAACTGATACCACGAACAGTACGAACGACCATTCTCTTCAGGAGCGTTCATATATACAGTGTAAGTTTAATTGATGGTTTTCGCAATAATCTTTTATAATTTACTTTTCACTCAACGTGACAACTCTGTGCAAGAGAGTGAAAAATATAAGTGTATTTCCGGCAGACGCAACACTTTATGGTTTTGCAGACAGATGCGCCCCGTGTCGTCTGGAGCTGAGGCAGCTTAGTTACAGAAAGCAAGAACAGCATCAGGCCGCTGTCAGGGCACAGCATTGGGCCGATAATATGACTTGGCAAGCAGGTACATGAACGGATAGTTTAATTTTTAACTTTTTTCAAATTCAAGCTTTCTACACGTTTTAAAAAATACTGTACCTAACGTGTTCAGGAGCGACATTTTTGCTTGTGTGTTTTTCCGTGCTCTCTTCGCTTGAATATAAACATCCTTCGAGATAAAAATTTACTTTTCGATACTGCGTGCGCAAAGTGTGTCTTTCCCGCACGCTCGGCAGAAAACGTGCGTTGAAAATCGCACTTTCCACACGTCGTATCAAAAAGTAAATTCCCGCACTAGTTATGTAATGTACTATACATTTGAAACAATGTTTTGTTATGAATATTCGCGCATATCTATGGTTTCCGATTTCGATGGAAATGGACTTATTTGAAAAGTGTGGCTAGTGATCCGATTCAATTTTATTATTAGCTTGATAGAGGCATAACTTGAAAAAATAAAGTTGAAGTCAACTTTTTCTTGAAAAATTACTTGTAATTTTAATAAACAGTTGAAAATGGACTTGAAGAAAATGTAAGTCGTAATGTGTCTAAATATAGATTAGTAGCTGTAGTTTGAAAGGTCCTTTAAACACCGTTTATCTTAGAATAAAGATTTATTTTAAAAATTGATTTTCGAGAAATTTTTTATGGGGGCTGTCTATGCGCAACTAATTAGGAAAAATTGTGTACCGGATACTCGCTTAAATCGAGTAATCGTCCACGTGAGTGCTATTGCGGCAATCTCTGCATGTGTGAATCACTCGTTTTCTATACTAATTAAATAACGTACTATTTTATTTTTATTCATGTAACTTTATGCTCTATTCAAAGTTTTCGATGTTATTGTTAATGCATGGTTGTTAAATAGGTTCTAGACTCTTACCCAGTGGATGGAGACCTCGAGGAGCTCTCATAGCATATCTCCATGAGCACAGAAACTCTGTGAATCGTTTAGTTTCAATCCCCGATACAAGTTTATTTGCTAGCAGTTCATCCGATAGTTGTATCAAAGTTTGGGATGCTAGTAAAATGGAAGGAAGAAATATAGCCAACCGTTCGAGGTAATTGTTTGCCTGAGTTTTAATGAAAATGAATCTATAAAAATAAAATTTATAATAAAATGATTTTTCAGGCAAACATATATGCAAAGAGGAGGGCCTCTCATCGGTCTTGTAGTTTGCGAACAAGGTCAATCTCTAGCAAGTACTGCGAGCGAGGCCGGCAACGTCTTCGTGGTGAGGATAGAATCGAACTCGAGCAAAATGACAGTAATGTCTTCGAGACAGCTAGACTTGCAAGAAGAAGGTTGCGCGGTCGATTTACAGTACTTAGATTCGGGTTCACAGTCCGTATTAGTGTACGCTACAGTTTATGGTGCCTTGGTAGGATGGGACCTCCGATGCCCTGGTACTGCTTGGAAATTGGAAAATGACTTGAAGAATGGTCTCATTACCTCGTTTTGTATTAATAATTATCAACAATGGTTGACCCTTGGCACCAGCTCGGGAGCGCACATTTGTTGGGATTTGAGGTTCCAGTTGCCAATATGCAAGTTTGATCATCCGACAAGTAAGTATACAAACATTGGATTTTATTTGAATTTTATCGTACTGAAAATCCATTGAATATTTTTTTATATAAAAAGATGCCCGAGTGAGGAAAGTGATAACGCATCCGACGGAGCATTCGTGGGTGATATCGGCGGTGCAGGGTAACAACGAGATATCAATGTGGAATTTGGAGACAAGCTCACGACAAATGGTATTGTGGGCTTCGAGTGCGCCTCCATTGAGTCAATCTCAAGGTGGCCAAAGCGTGTGTGCCATGCATTCTGCCTGTATCGATCGAGCCGGATTTTTATTGGCCGCGGGTACGGATATGAGATTACGCTTCTGGAATTTGCAGTCGCCCTGTGATTCAAAAATTGTTCTTCCTGCGGTTAACGACTCTCTTTCTCCAGATAATATGGCTTATGAGTAAGTTTTTTTTGTTTTAATATACCGTCAGAATTGATTGAATTATTACACTGCTTTTTTGTCGACGGATAGATATGTTTTTTATTTTTACAGAGATTTTTTCATTTATTTTTTATCGTATTTTCCAAACTTTAAAAAAATATTTTTATTTTGATCCTACTAATAATAATATATATCGATATTTTTTTAAAGTCTGTACAGATGTATATTTTAAAAATACACAATCATGTGTATATGGATAGGAAAACATCACTAATTGACTTTTTTATTTCTATGAACTTCATCCGAACAATTTTTGATTGGATTTTTCAATTTTTGCAAAAAGAAATTTTTGCACAACATTTTTGCAAAAAATAATTTTGTGACTGGATTTTTTTAATTTTTGCATGATATTGACGGTGAGTCAATTACTGCACCTTGAAGTAGATTTTACATTAATAATCATAGCTCATTGAAGTGTAATATAGTTAAACAATGTAACTTTTTATAATATAAAAATAGATTCATTCCTATAATAAACTTAAAGTATTTTATTTTCTTATTTGCATACACGAAAACTATGCAAAAAGTAAGTGAAAATCCATGAAAAAGTTGATTTGTGTAGCACATAAATTAATTTTCAGATTGATATTACACCATATCAGATATTTCCAGATTCCTTTACAAAGTGTAGTAGATTAATATTCTCTGGTAATCCTTGTATAAATTATACGCATTGCAAAAATAGTGATCGCTTATATGCCAATCAATTTCAGAAACCTTACTCCTTCTGCTATAGCACTTTACTAAACCCAGCGAATCTTTCATCCTCGACAGGCAAAGATTAATCGATGGCATGAACGTGGTGCAAGAGGTGCTCGGGGAAAGCGATGTCTCAAGTACAGGAAGTAGCACGAGTACGAACATGAGACAGCGTAATAATGAAGACGGCAGTCCAGATCCAGAGGTACCGAATCCTGGGCATCACGACACTATTTCCGCCATTGCTATGTCCAACACTTGCATCCTTACCGGCAGCAGTGATGGCCTCATACAAGTGTGGAAGTGATGTGTATGCTTCTTTTATAGTTTGATAGACAGCTTCGATGCTCAAGTGAAGTGGTTATCACCCTTGAAAACATTTATTTTTGCGTTACATAATGTTCGCAGCTACGAAAGCTGACGCAAGTTTATTATTTAGATTTAAAAAATTATAATCAAAAGACGATATTTAGATCGTCTCCCTATATATATATATGTTGTATATATGGACAATTTTATTGAATGTGAAAATCAAACATATTTTACAATATCTAAACTTTTGATAATAAATAACATAGATAGAAACTAAAAATTTATTGATAATACAATTTCTGAAAAAATATTGAGTCGTGATGAAATTAATTGAAACAATCATCATATTTCTGGATTGTTGCGAATATCTATCAAAAATTTCTTTTATGAAAACCGATAGCCAGGAAGTAATATTAGAAACAAATCAAACGAATTTTAAAAAAAACACTAACTTTTTAGTAGTATGATATATATTGTTATTGAAACTACATAAAGGTGCCGAAAAAATAGATATATTTTAACTTTTATGACATATAAAATTTGAGTTGCGATATCATATACGTAAAAAGAAATTAAACAATTTGACTATGAGTGAATTCTTATATCATTTGCATTTTCATGAGGATAAAATTTTTATATAAAATTAAAGTCACCGGCTTAAAAAAATATTATAAACCGTTTACTTTTTAATAGACGCACTCGTGATAAGTAATACTACGTGCAAAGTACTGTGATTATACGTTACGTAAATAATACAAGAGCAAGAAGTGATGAGATTTCCAAATTTTACCGCAGTATTCGAAAGTTTGACATTATTGTATTCTGTAAGCCTGAAACACTTCGCACTTCAAAAATACAAATACTGTATAAAACTTTTATTTTTGTAAATACAAAATAACTGAATCACGGGTCAGAGTGGGTGCTCAGTCACAGCATAATTTGAAATTCAAATTTGATTTATAACGAAAAGTAATAGCATATATATATTCAGCTTTATTATTAAAAAATGAAGTCCTATAAATGAATTTTAAATACTACACATTTTCATATTTCTTTATAGTTTAATGATGCGTAAAGTTACCTGTTAAGACTTACCAATATCACATACAGTAAACATGTAAAAAAGCAATTTATAGTTAATAAATATTAACTTAGAAATATAATATTATATCAATTATTAATGAATAGTGTTTACTTAAAAAACTAGAATATTAATTGCTATTGATTGTTTATATACTTATCACAACGAATGATGCATTTTTTAAGTATCTATGAATTATTTACCTCAACAGAGTAAGAAGAAATGTGGTATTGTTAAGTAATTAACAAGTGCCTTCCAAAGTAAAAGGTATAACACGCATACACATGCACACACACACACACACACACACACACACACACACACACACACACACACACACACACACACACACACACACACACACACACACACACACACATACACAACCCTGATCAAGTTAACATTTACGTGAAAAAGTTTTTTTTTACCTCAGTCATGATATTTTTAATGAAATTCGTTTATAATAATATGTAAAATTAAGTGTGTACATAATACTGAATGAATGCTTTTCGTCGAGACATAATGTATTGTATGAAGCTTTGTAAACATGTAACTAAGTATAAATTACGAAAAATTTATAAATTAAACCATAGCGGTGTGTGCCTAGTAAAACGCTAGTAATTTTTTACTCGCGTATTTGCATCGCAAGCAAGTTGGTTGCAAAAAATGTTGTGTTGATTGTCGATGACGATTCCCCATGCTCAAGACCATTTTTGCAACCTCTACATTGTAAACAAAAACTGAATTGCTAATTTTTCGACCGTCATAATAAATTATCCATTTTTCTTACGAATTAAATTTTCTCAGTCATTTTTATTACCCGCACGCATCCCGTTATTTTTCAATGAACACCTTGTTTTTGTTGAATTGTTTTGTGCAGCGAAATAAGTGAATGTGCCAGATAGATGCATGAGAAGATCTTCACGATATACATCTGATTGTCCTTCCAGCGCTCATTTTTTTTCTCCTTATTATCGGAAGGTTTCATGTTTCCTCTCGTACTGTCGCGTCTTCCATGAACCTCTGAGAGAACACGAAGGGAAAAGCCAAGCGCCTAAAAGCCTACGTCAATCAGTCGGTCACGCAGTAGCGAAACAATAATTAATTTTGCTTCATAATTTATCTCCGACGACTCGTAACCCAATTACTCAATGGGAATTACTTAAAAATACAAGGTATTATTATACTGTATTATCAAACCTCATCATATTAATATCCACGATGCTTTAATTAACGAGAAATTTTATCTTTGGTCGCAATTAGTGATTGATTAACTATCATTATCGGTGCTAAACCATCTACTCGTCATTCTTGTACATACAAATATTTATTATCCGAGATGTGCGTCACTCGTGTTGATATAAATCTCGACACTGCATATATCTATGCACGCCTAAGAAACACAAGCAGTCGAATTAGTGCGGACAATGATAGTTAACCAATCATCAGTCGCGTGAAACATAAAAGTCATCGTTAATTCGGCCAAACTGGATATCGATTTGAAAGAATCCTTCCGTCAAGTCATACAATACATCGGGCCTTTCTCGTTTACTGAAAATCAAGCCAAGATTTATTCGCAGACAAGCTCTACGTTTGTATTGACATCGTAAAGTCCTATTAAAGCTTTTACGCGTTGGGAAAAAACCGAGAGCTCGTTTAAACTGATTTTCAAGCGAAACCGCGAAATTCGCCATAAACCCGTCACTCTCGATTTAATCTGCTCGAAAGCGAGAACTTGCAAAAGCTATTTCTGATGCCACACCGAATGATTTTTATGTGCCTTTGTTTAAAATAAGACGCATTTCTTTTATGACAACAAGCTAAGTTTACGCAGCCACACCTAGGCAGCAATGATCCTTTTTTAGCCACCCGATTTCGCCTACATCACAGATTTATAACTTTAGACTAGAGCCATTCATATTTTAATGCAGACGACTTATTAATTAAGTCAAAAGATATTGCAGATTATAATCGGAGCAATAGCGGTTGGATGGGATATGGAGCTGAACAGCCATATTCATTGCTGAGTGTTCAAAATACGAAGCGCGCAAGCATGAAAGGATTATCGAAATTGACTTGTCCAATTTTTATCGCGGAAAAGATCAACACCACGTAAGTTTATTAGTCCAATACGTGCAAATTACAAACATCAGAATTCGGTCAGGGCAAGTATAAAAGCCAGTAACACATTGCAGATGCGCGTTAGACACTTTCAATGAAATTCCAACGAGGCTAAGTAAAAAATCACGGATTTGCAGTGTTGAGATCAATGATTTGTGCGAGATTGCGGAAAAAAATGTTCATCCCATCAGTTTCCGATGATACGGTACAACGAGCAATCACAAGTGAGATAATTAACAGCTTTGGTATACAGCGAAGGAAGAAGAGACGAAAATCTATGGAACAATGGACCAATAGGAGAGCGTTTTGATTCCAGCCTCATTAGTCGAAGAAGTAAGGCTGAATTCAGCTCATCAATCATGATGTAGGCGCACGCAGTGCCAAGTGTTCCACGATGACTCGTTTGATTTTCGCGCAGCACACTTATGCTCGTTAAGCGCTTTGCTATGGACAGGTTGGAAGGGAGACAAGAATAGTGCCTAATCACTGTCGGCGGTTAATACGAAGCCACTTAAATCAATCGGCGTATAACGAATCGATATAAGAGCTTCGTTGGCTGATGTAGTTTGGTTGAGAAGGAAATAAGGGCGAGTCGGGCACATCGTGCAGCAGCAGCAATGTTGTGCGGCGAGTAGCCTGATGTAATTCGATTAAAAACTTGCGGTTGTCTGCGCTCGTGCGGATACATCGAGTGCGATGTCACAAAGAGCTTGCGCGACTCGCGGTAAAACACTTAGCGTTACCCGAGAGCGGAGTTGGGTCGCTGGCGCGCCACGCAGCTCGAGCCTCGTTAGCGAATGCCCCGCGACGGCTCGCCGAGAGCTTTCTTTCTCGCGCGCGAACGCTCGTGCATTCGGCTGGCACGTGGGATCACCGTCGGAAGAAAAAGTAAACGGCCGCTGCCCATCGAAAGGATTTTTCGCGCCCGAGCGGAACGCGTTGCAGAGCTTGCGCCACCAGCGAGACGCGCTCAGTTCCCTCGCGACCGCCGACTTGCGCGCAGCCTCGCATCATCGAACCCTCGACGTGCCCGCGCTGCCTCTCGCCTCCTCTGCTACGCGACGGTTCCCAGTACACGCGCCGCGTATCTCATTATTCATCGTTTTTTTTCGCCCTTCGCTGCGATGTTTCGCAAAATAATTCATTGTCGATAAACATTCCGTGGAATACGCTGGTGCTGTCTACTCGCTGTTGAGCTTTGACGGTCCTGCTGATCGCTGAGAGTATAAAGGTAACGTAAACGTTTTTATTTCTTTCTTCTTATACTCGTTATTCAATTTTTTCTTCGTTACAACTTTGCATTTTTAAGAGTCGATGGACATTTTTGCGCTTTCTTTTGTTTCACGATAAGCGCGTTCACAGAATGAAAAATCTACTCAATTGTAAACTATTTTTTAATGATCGTTTCCAACTCGCAATAGCATCGCAGTTGATTGTATCGTCGATTAAAATGCTTTTGCCTTAACCAAAATTAAAAAATGAAAATTATGACAGGACAATGAGCGATGAAGGTATAAAACAGCATTTGATTTTGTGCAGAAAAGCTGGAGATGTCAGATTTTGACGAATCAATGAATGATGACGCGAACCACGATCGGCTGCACGTTGACTTGAGTTTGGGATGCAAAGTAAGGCGAAGCATAACAAAGGTGAAAAGGAGCTTACAGCGGATGACGGGTAAATTGTTTATCAATGTATACATACACTACTGAACTGCTCGTTTTTGTCAGGGAATTATATGCAACTGTGTTTCTTTTGTCCGGGAACTGAATAGAACGTCGCTTTCTTTTTTTTAGCTCGTTTTCTCGTTGTTATACGCTCTTGTTAGAATTGAAAATGTGAACAAGTGGATCAAATGTTTTTATTTTGCGAAAACCAGATGTTCAATATTTTTTGATAATATTGATCGAACTAATTTTAGGCAAATGTAAGCAATTAGATTCGGATGTTTTTAAAAGTCGGCAATATACGCAGGTTGATCATTGAAACAATATTTCTCAAATAAAAATGAATTGATTAACCCTTTAGTGATTGATATTAAAAATCTTCGATGTTTCTCACACTCAATCATATCAGAATTGCGGACACATAAGTCCAAGTCTAAGGAACGAGGCTTCCTCTGGTCATAAAAATTTCAAGCGTAAAAGAGAAAATGATTAATTCGATGACTGAAGGTTTTCCTATAACACGAGCGAAGCAGCAAAACATGAAAACAAAGCGTTTGTACGGAAGCTCTGCAGCACTCCGCGTAAGTATACAATCGAATTTTCGGTAGGATGGAAGAGCATCTCCGTCAGCCGGCAGTGCAGTATGTGTCAGGGACAGAGAGAGAGAGAGCCCTTTTTGTATATATATATATATATATATATATATATATATATATATATATATATATACATAGTGTCCTACAGACCATCGTGCACTCTCTGCTCTCGAGTCAGTGGCAGGTCGCAAGCAGAGATCGCTGCTTACCTGGCTTCCGGCTAGAAATCCAATTTGGCCAGTTTAATTCGGGAATCGCCAGAGAGCCGCTCGCGCGCGCACACGGCGCATTAGTATATTTTCGCGCGGTCAGTAGCGCGCCCTCGCTCATTACATATGCGTGTGCCTCGCAGAGGATTCCACCGACGAGGACGAGGATGACATCATGGCTCGACGATTACTGCAGATACCACGCGAGAACCTGGCCTCTCTCAGTTGCCGCACGGGATTCAGCAGCGACGAGGTTCGCCGACTCTACCGTGCTTTCAAGCAGCAGGTACGTTGCCAACGTTTTAGTTTGTCACTCGAGCTAGCGGTCGATGATCCGTCCTGCAACTTTTCGCCCTGGGAAAGTACAAGGATATGCCAAGTGGCTTCCGTCGTGATCTCGCGAAAATCACCGATAGAATTTTATCGGATAGCGGCTAGCGCTTTTCAAAGCTTGTACGTCGACACTTCTGCTTTATTCCGCGCGACAATCCGAGAATTTGTTCCAGGCTGAGAAAAAAATCATCGAGCGTCGGCAAGCTAAAAATACAGCAGGCAAAGGAAATAAGCCGTTTCTGAGAAAGGTTTGCTCTTAATCGTGCTATTATCACCGCATAGTTGAGAGTAAATTAAGATTTGCTGAAGTTAGCCGGAAAGAGAAGATATGAGGACGTAAGCAAGATTTATTCGGCTGATCCTCAGGTAAGGAGTGGATATTCATCATAGAGAGCGCGGTCTTATGTAAAGGCTCAGCGACATCAATTGCCGTGTACGAGATATCATCGGAAAACGAAAGCCGAGTATGCCGAGTAGACAGGCGCGTGTATCGTTTCGGATTGTCGCTCGCGCTAAAACTTGGCTCCTCGAATGGAAGCCAAGTGCGGAGGACGACACTTTTCCACCCTGCGTGTACGCAAAGGTTTGTTTCCTTCGCTCTCCACCCTGCTCCACTCGTTTCGCTCGATGCTTGTACGGTTTCCGCGTCTTTTTTCTGCTTTTGGGCCATTTTTCTACGCGATTCGTCGATCTAACTTCGAGACATTTCATGTGACGCTCTCTCGCTCTCGCGCTTTATTTTGAGAATAAGGGAAATCGCATACACACACGTAGACGCCTATGCGCCCGTGTATTTATAGAGAAGCCAAAGAGATGCTTATGACGATAAGCGATGCGCGCCGTTTGCCCCCATGCGCTCTTTTCTTTTCGAGATTATCTGCACTCGCGTATTTCAGATATTGATCTAATATAGCTACCTCTTGGACTAACCTTTCATGAGAAAAAAAGCCAATAACGATTATTTGATGCAATAACGGCATTAATTTGTAAAGGATGAGCGAAGTATTGATATAATGAATGCTAATGCTTGACATTATTCCAAAAAGATCTTTAATCAATAAATAAGCTTTCGATTGATTTGACAGGTTGATCAAATTGCTTATTTTCGTGTGTATTTTACGATAATTTTGCATTTCTCTGACCTACCTAACATTATTATCACTTGAATTAATCTCCAAGTTATAGTTGTAAAACTTTCTAGCCACCAAAACGCATCTGGCTATGTAGGATAGAGTGCTTCAACTTTGGGACATGAATTCACTTTATAATTTGTCATGTTTTCGTATGTTAAGTGAGGTATAACACTAGTTCCGTTGGATTCAACTTTATATTTGTCAAAGTCATTTTGGGTACAATCCAGCTCACTCAAACTAGAAATAACATTTCTAAGGACGTATAATTTCAAGTGGATATTAAATAAAAATATTTCTCGCTTTGTCAAAAGACTTGATGATGCTCTGCATCTTTTTCGACTAGCATAAAAAGATATCTATGAATGATGTATTCGCTTGGAGATTTGTGAAGCAAGCTCAAACGAGAATCCAAGCACTCAACGTATGTTATTTATTAATCGTACTTTTCCATTTTTATGAAAAATACACCAAAACTAACTCTAAAAATAAAGAAATAGAACGTGTATAGAAAATTAGAATTGGTCTCAACTTATTGTACTAAAATATCGCTCTAAAAGTTCAAATTCAATTACATTTTTATTTTTATAATTTATATATATAAATCATATGCTAAAGTTATTTGATACTTTAGAAGAACGTAATTTAAAATAGAAAATGTAATAACCTAATGTTCCAAAAGAGAAATTAACGCATAGGACATGATGTGGAAATGTTAGTTCGGGAACACAATGAGAAGTGATTTGATGAACTTTCTGTGCAGTGCCCAAATGGAGTAGCTACGACCAAGGACCTAACGCCCGCCTACGCGAAACTCTTTCCGCTAGGAGACTCTCGCAAGTACGCGGAAATAGTTTTCAACAGCTTCGATGAGGACAAAGATGGCCTAGTCAGTTTTGGCGATTTGCTCACAGGCTTGGCCTCAATCGTAAAGGGAGACGCCGATCAAAAACTTTCTTGGATTTTTCGGTTCGTCAACCAATTTAAGCCCAATTTAACTTGCTTTTGCTTTCTTTCTCTCGATAATCTCTAAAACATTGTTATACTTCTTTTATTACACCCTTCTCACTTTTCGTTCTTTTTTTCTTCGCAAGCACACGTGGGCAAACTTTTTTCCTAGTTCTCCGACGAAAAGATCTCACGGGAGTTTTCAACGTATTGCTCGGCGAAAGTTCAGCCCGCGGATCTGAAATTGACAATTTCACGAAATAGGGAGTTGATGTGGCGACTTTTGATACGGAGTAATGTAGTCGTTCGTATAACGAAAAATATTTACATGTGCGTCAAGCGAAACGTAATACGGCGGAAAAACATCGTTATGACGGAAAGGTATTTTCAATCCTGAATGATGTGGGAGAGGAGCACAACATACTACGCTGTATACAGCGTATTTGAAAGTTAGAGTAGTATATAGATTTGTAGCAAACGCAACTGGCATTTTTCAAAGAAAAAAGTAATATGTGCTATAAGTTTTTTACTTCGACAAGCCATTTTTCAAAATATCTTTTACTTTTTTTCATAATGCATATCTCCCAATCGTAGTTTTCAATTTTATGCTTATAAACACCAATTTTGAAAAAAATACTTATCGCAGTCAGACTACATATCGACTGTACTACTAGTTGATGGTATTTATTTGATTGTTGAAAAAAAGCATATTTTTCATTAGTTCCTTGCGCGTTCTAAATAAAGATGATTATGGAAACAGAAGTGCATTGATAATCGCAAATATACATAGATTTAAATCTCTGACCCGTAAGGCGTCGGGCGCAATTAGAATATGTCGTCGAATCGAATTTTGAAGTACTATTAACGCTGAACTGAATTCATCGAAGCGAGTAAATTTATGCAAATGCGTCGACCCGTAATCATCCACAGATTATACGACCTGAACGGAGATGGCTGCATCACGAGACACGAGATGATGACAGGTGTCTCAGCGATTTACGAGATGGTCAGAAGCGCTCAGGTGATCGATTGTGCGGTCGAGAGGCATGTCAACAGGCTCTTTGAGAAGATGGACCTCAATCGAGATGGTGTTATATCACGTGACGAATTTCTCGATACTTGTAAAAATGTAACACAGATTGCTCTTCATTACACATTAAATCATACTCCCTTTCGTTAGTAAGAAGTAATTGTAATTTTTTTTTCAGGACGCGGTTATTTTTAACCAATTGAAGATGTTCAACGATTTGCAGTATTAATGGGCGTAAACAATTTTTAGAATACAATGTTACCTCGATGTGTAGAATTTCATGTGATTGGGTTTTTGTATAAGGGAGTAATTAATTCTACTAATATAATAAAAATGCAATGTATTTATATGTATGAAATAATGTGAAATTGAGTAAATTACTTGGGTTGTTAGCGGTAAACCTATGGGTGTATGTAACGTCCAGACATCCCTTTAAAACAAAAATGCGTCATCTATATATTTTATAATGTCTCCATTTATTGTAATTCAATTATTTTTAAATCACTGAAAAGCTGATGGTATCAATTTCATACATTTTTATTATATGTTAAGAAAATTTATAAGTAGACTAGAATTTTTAGTATTCACATTTCATGTCATTCCTAAAATTTAAATTATCATAATAAGCCGAATTTATTAAAGTTAAAAAACAGGGATGTCAATTATCATGTCAACAAATTTTACGATAGGTTTATTTAAAAAAATATTGTAAAAAGTTTAGATACTAACATAAAATTATATATAAATGAAAAACTAAAAACAATAGAATGTTATAAAAATGACTTTTTATTTGTTTCTAGGTAAAATTCTTTTAATCAATCAATCAAAGTCAATATTTAATTTGTACTATCACATACATGTTTGATTTCAATTGTAAATATACAATTGATTCTTTAAAAAATTGAATTTGACAATCTAACTTCATTTTAAAAAGTCAATTTCTTTATTTAAGCTTCATGACTGTTATTGAAACCCATTAGATGCTTTATTTACAATGATTACTAAGCCTTGAACTTTCTTTTATGCAATCCCCTTAATTTAATAAACTTAACTCATAACTTCTTCTAGTTGACATACATTTATGTAAACAAGTTTTCTTCACCTGTAGATAATCTTGTTTTAAAATAAGTTTACAAAATCTTATTAAGCAAGTATCACTTTTTAAATTTAATTTAAGTCTGTTGCTGTGTAGTTATAAGTTTGTAAGCTCACAAGAAAAAAAAACATTAAAGTAACCTTTTTTGTAGTATATAAAATACAACAGCTAAGAAAAACATGAAAGCCAAAAATATTAAAGCTTTATCTGTGATTTCCCTTCTGCCATATTTTCCTAACAACTTTCCTGATTGTACGATGACTTGATGTTGCTGTTCAAGTTCTTTCTTTGTACCAGAAACTTTTTCGGATGATATAACTAAAAAATGCATTTCAATAAAGTATTATTTCGTTATGTATAAAACAGTATAGTATTTAATTTAACAAGAAAACGAACCTAATGTATCTAATGTTTCTGCACTTCTTTGATTTGTTTCAGCCAAATGTCTTGATATATCTAGTAACCTATCTGTTAGATTATGTGAGGTCTTAGCTAAACTATCTCTGTCTTTTCTTTTTCGCAGCAAATTCTGTTTCTCCGATGGTGCAGACAATAACTCGTCCCTGGCCAATCTGTCTATTGCACAAGAACTAACAAAGTTTGCCTTACGAAAAGCTGCCATAGCTGTGTTCAATTGACTACGATAATTTTCTATAACTGACAATAATTCGGCTTTTTTATGTTTAGCACGCTCTCGTTCAACTATATCAATCAATCTATCAATGTTATTCCTGAGAGTTGTTATGAGTGCTCGGCCGTCGCCATTAAGTTCATTCAAATATTCTAAAGGGCCAAGACATTGGTGTATATCCTGTAAATGTATATAAGTTTTGTTATTTAATTTCGTAGAAAATAAACATTCATGTTGCAATCAAGGTTATGTTTATTTCTAAATTTTTAGTCTTTACCTGAATCAAAGCAGTTAATTCTAGGTGATTCTTTATAAATTCTTGTGAAAGCGATTCAAATGTTTCTTCCTTCAAAACCATTTTTAATTAACTACTTTTTTCAATTATAATTCTTGCTACACAGCAAGCTGACGTAAACACATGACCGAACCCACGCTGCGCATGTGTGAATGTATAGGTATGTATATGTATGTATGTATTTATGTATATATATATGGTTTAGGTAGTTCTATATTCCGCAACTTGTAGCGCTAGTAGTTAGCGCTAAATTATAAGATTTAAAATTTTCGGCGGAATGGCGGCAAAAGAGCTCGGCAGCTATATACTGTGTCTCCTACTTTTCTGTATTTATACATTATTTGAAAAAGTAAGTATTTTTTTACCTGACAATTATATTTGATTGATGAATATAGTTATCGTCATTATTGAAGATTGTTATTGTTGATTTTCAACTATCAATTGTTTGATATTTTGCATCATACTTGCAGTATCATGAGTGATCCACCAAGAAAACACTTTAATCCTCGATGGAAAAAGAAAAAAATACAAAAAAATGATAAATTAAAAAAAGGTAATAGTGCAGTATTAAACACAATCGATGATGTCAAATCAAATGCAGATTCTAACACTGATGACCAGTGTTCACTTGATAAGTCTCCTAAAAGTAAGTCACCAAAGCACCGGATTGCAAAAAGAGAAACTCCATATCCTGGATGGCATTTTTACTTTGAGAATGAAGAGTATAGAAAGACTTCTCCCATTGTGGCAAAAATCCAGGCAATGGAAAAATTTTTAGAAGAAAATCCTGAATTAATAGTTCATTGTGTAGAGGAAAATACGTTTAGTATTGATGTGAATTTACTTTATGCCAGTCAAATATTTATTGAAGATTGGCCTGATTTCAAGTCAGAATTGAAAAATAAACCTGATTATGTATTGAGTTGTTTGGGACTAGCAGTGCAGAAAATTAAGCTTGATCATTTAAAACAACAAAGTAATATAGTTGACGTTGAAGCGGCTGATGCTTATGTGAACATTAAGATTTTAAACTATGATCCAGTAGTGGCTTTAAAAAGTATTAAAGTTAATTATTATGGAAAGTTTATAACTGTTAGAGGATGTATTATAAGAGTAAACAGATCTTGTCAATTGGCCTCATCATTGGTGCTTTTATGCGTTACATGTAGATTACCATATCAAGTTAAGCAAAAAAATGGAATTTATACTCCAAAGAAAAAGTGTGACTGTTGTGGTGCCAGGAAATTTGAACCTGAATTAAGCTCTCCATATGTGGAAACAATTCCAATGCAAATTGTACGTATTCAAGAACATTTTGGAGAAGAGCAAGATGATCAAGGCAGGGTGCCTCGTGTGATGGATGTAGAGCTTTATGAAGACATGGTGGATACATGTATGCCTGGAGATGATGTTACAATAACAGGTATAGTTAAAATGCAAGGTACAGATAATGGCAAAGTTAAAACTAGTGCAGTATCATCTTTATATATTCAAGCCAATTGTGTTACCAACAATAACAGAAAAGCTAAAAATAATGAAGGAATAAATATTGAACTGAGTATTTTAGACTATAAATCCATCAAAGATGTCTACATAAATGATGATACTCTAGGTGTACTTGTTCATTCATTATGTCCTGGAATATATGGACATGAGATGATCAAAATGGCTCTTCTTTTGACATTATTTGGTGGTAGCCCAAAACATACTAATTTAAGAGATAATATCCATATTCTAATTGTTGGAGATCCTGGATTAGGCAAATCTCAGATGCTGCAAGCTTGTTCTCGAGTTGCTCCTAAAGGTATTTATGTGTCTGGCAATTCCAGCTCTTCGTCAGGTTTGACAGTAACTTTAGTCAGAGAGAAAGGAGAAAGTGATTTTGCATTAGAGCCAGGGGCTTTAGTATTAGCTGATAGAGGATGTTGTTGCATAGATGAATTTGACAAAATGCCTACTCAGCATCAAGCTTTACTTGAAGCCATGGAGCAACAAAGTGTAAGTGTTGCTAAATCTGGAGTCATTTGGTCCTTGCCTGCTAGAACATCTATTCTTGCTGCAGCAAATCCTATTGGAGGGCGTTATGATAAATCCAAAATATTAGCCAAGAATTTAAATATGAGCCAACCACTTTTGTCAAGATTTGATCTGATTTTTCTCTTATTAGATCAGCCAGATAAGGACTTGGACAATTTTTTATCAGGACATGTCATGTTGATGCATACTGGTAATGAACCCATCAAGAATGAAGGACTTACAGGCTATAATAAACCAAGTAATAGCTTAGGTAATTCGCTAAGAAAAAGATTAGTTAGCTCATCAAAAAATAAAGTTCACAATGTGTCATCATCAATTCTTCGTAAATATATTTCTTATGCCAGGCAATATGTCAATCCTAGACTATCAACATCATCAGCTACAGTTTTACAAAACTATTATTTAAATTTACGTAGAACAATGAATGTAGCAGCGAATCTTGCTCCATGCAATAGACAATTGGAAGCGCTTGTTCGTCTGACTGAAGCCAGAGCAAAATTAGATTTACGTGAAGAAACAACAGAGCAAGATGCTTTAGATATTATAGAGTTGATGGAGTATACTGTATTAGGTATGGAAGACAACAAATTAAATTTCACTCTACAAAATAATAAAGAAAGTGTTAGAGGTGCTATGAAATATTTTCTAAAATTTTTGGTAAAAGATTCAGAAGAAAAACAAAGTAAGTTATTTTCTAAAGAAGAATTGAAAGATGTTGCTCTCAGAGCTGGATTTTGTAGCAATGATGTATCTAATGCTATTGACAGATTAAATGAACAAGGGATTCTTATTAAAACAAGTAGTGGCATGTATAAGTTTATACCACCATAAAGTAAATTTAAAGAATTCCAAAAATGTGCATATAAATTTAGTTACACAGTTATAAATAATTTTATATTAGCTAGAAAGTCTTTAACAAACTTTTTAATTGAAAAAATAAAAAAATTGTTTCTTAAAATGAGATAATTTAATGAAATAATTATTATTTTTAAAATACATTTGAAATTTTTATTTGATGGTTCTCCTATCAAGTATTAGTGTGAAAAAAATAACAAAAATATAAAGACGTGATATAGTTTATTTTACAATTCGCGTATATTACAATTGTCTATGACGAATAATGAGTCTTATTTTTATACTGTTTTTTTGGTAATTGTAATACATGGTTCATAGTGCTTTGCTTTTATTTTACAATTAACTAACGTCATTTCTATTTTCGATAAAATCACTTCAAGTTGCAGCTGACAGGCCATTGACGCATCAAAATGTAATAATTTACTGAGTGTTCACAGTTAAACGCATTCAATGTCCAAATACAACCGGCTGAAATTGATGTGAAAAATATGGCTCTTATCGAGTTACTTTAATATTTTTCTACGATCGGTCAATTATTTAAAAAATTACATTGCAAATAAATAATTAGCGAAGGTTATAAATCACAGCATTAGTAAACTCGGTCGTTGAAGTTTGTCCACCTAAATCTTTCGTAAGATATTTCCCATCATTCAATACACGATTCAAGGCGTCCTTTATTTGTTCTGCATAACGTCGTAGATTAAGATGATTCAGCAGCTTCACCGAACATAATATCATGGCAGTAGGATTAGCCACATTTTTGCCAACAGCTTCTGAATATGTATGTCTTGCACCCTACATAATATTTTACAAAATCATACAGTCGTTCTCTCGTAAAAATATGAAATTAATGTGAGATATTGTGTAATTTTGAATGTATAAAACAAATATTTAACAAATTTTAGGAAAAACTCTAAATTGGAAAAAATTCTTACTAAAAGAATATTACAAAATGTCATTAAAAAAATATACATACTGGTTCAAAGACGACACACTCAGCACTGTAGCTGGCTCCAGCAACAACACCGGCACCGCCAACTAATCCTGATGCAAGATTGTCTACGATATTGCCATACAAGTTCGGCGTGACCATAACATCAAATTGATGAGGATTTGAAACCATTTGCATAGTGCAGTTATCCACAATCATTGTTTCAAACTGAATTCTATTTTAGAGTTAATCGATGTATATTAATAATAGAAGATGTAAAACGACGTGAACTACAATTTGTACTACATTTTTTTTTACCTAGGATACAATTTGGCAATTTCTTGACAGGATTTTAAGAACAAACCATCTCCAAGTTTCATAATATTTGCTTTGTGAACACATGTCACCTTTTTACGTCCATTTTTGACAGCATAATCAAAGGCAAATTTAGCAATTCTTTGACTCTTGGTTGCTGTAACAATTTTCAAGCATTCAACTACTCCAGGTACAGATTCATGCTCCAAAGCAGAGTATTCTCCTTCTGTTTGTTCTCTTATAATCACACAGTCTACATTTTGATGTCTTGATTTAACACCAGGCAGAGACTTTACATGAACTACATTTGAGTAAAGGTCCAACTCTTTTCTCAATTTCATGTTTAAAGTTTGTAATTCTCCAGTATGAGAATGATCAGGAGTTGCCAAGATACCCTGCAAAAACATCAAATTATGTAATCAAGTTGACAAATAATCTAATCATACAGCTGATGTAACTCTTATTGAAAAATTTAATAAAGAGGTTTGATATTACTTTTTTTTAAAAAGAAAATATCCATTTATTTTATTCAAAATTTGGATTCAATTATATGATTATTGTTTTCAATATATTTTGATATAAATTAGATTTAAATATACTCACTTTGAGACAAACTCCATTCCTAGCAATACTATTAGATACTTGTTCTAAAGGAGCGCTAAGAGTTGGGTTGACTTCAGACAGAAAATAAGGCTCAAACTCTACTGGAACTCCAGCTGATTTAAAAATGTTTTGAACTGATACAACAAGTTCTGGTCCAACACCATCTCCTGGAATAAGTGTACATTTTGTAGAACGATCTGGATCAACGCCCTGCAAATGTTATTATAATTTAATTAAATATTTCTTACAAAGTTTGATTTACATTTACATAGTTAATTAATGATATACTTTTTATGTGTATTTACCATATTAAAATTTATATATTAGAAATAATTGAATCAGTAATAAATCAATAAAATAGCCACAATAAAATAAATATTACTTACAGCTTCTGTAAACCGAGAAGTTCCAACATGGATTGTTCTAGCTGATCCTTTCAGGGAAGTCTGGAAAAAGAGTTTTTAATTAGTTACTTGATATCAACAATTGACGAGTTATGTACATATTTGTCATCTACTGATATAATAAAGAAGTAGATATTAACCAAATGACCAAAAGCTAGTGTTCCATACATAAAATAAATACCACGATATCTAAATAAACAAAAACTGACAAATAGGTAGATTGACAGCAAAGTTTTGCAAATAAATTTCTTGATTCCGTTTAGTTAGGATGCTCTTGGGGAAAATCTATAAAAGGCAAGCACATGATTAAGTCACATTAGACAGCTGTGAAAATCTTTCGTTCTCGTATGCACGAGGGGCTACAGTCTCATCCAATAAATTCAATCAAATAGTCAATGCTAGTTTCTTTGAAGGACAACAGGAGGACTTTGACACGAACGTAGATAAGCATTAATTTATGATATTTACTTACTTGAGCGAGCACCTTGCAAACATTCCTCACAAGCAAAGCCATTTTTTGAGAGCAACCGATGCTGCAAATACGAGAGCTAAAACGACCCGCTGCTGCGCGGAGCAGCCGAAATCGCGCTCAGGTGCGGATTTCATTGGTCGTTGAACCCCTACTTTTTTCATTTCATCATTTCTCAAATAAGCATTATTTTTTAATATGGTAATAAAAAAAACTTGGAAATAAGTTTTATTTAAGGTTATCGCTTAATCGTAGAATTGACAAAGTATGAAATGTTTTGTTTATAATCTCGTTCGGAATGCCCGTTTGTTACAGCCCTGCAACTGTCGTGGACTATCGACAATCTTCGGCTCTGACAAATCTCTCGGCTAAGCGACCGAAAAAAACAAAAGTATCCATGATCGTCCAAGTTCAGAGGCTTCAATCGCGAAAAATCTTCTTCCGTGACGTGCGAAATTAAAAAAAGCTCTTTGCCTCGACATTTTTTAAGCAACTTTGATTCATTTTTCTTCGTGATTATTTACGATTGATTCAAGGAAAGCTGATTTGACGAAAGGGAGAAAGAGAAAAGTAGTGAGTTTTCGCATTGATCAGTTTGTCGCCTTGGTCACTGGAAAAAACTTCGTCTTTCGACAGAAAATAGAAAGCGAAGGCGCGCGAGCTCAGGAAATAGCTATTAAAAAGCTGGAAAAGAAGAGTTACTTGATACTGAATTTGGAGTTGGAACTGTGCATACTAATGTAATAATACCGTTCATTTTTCAACTATATTTTTTGTCAACGTTTACTGATCATATTAATCATCTTCAGAAAACTGTAGGCTATACTCAAAATAAACGGTACAACTATTAGCTTGTACCATGTCAGAGGAAAATCAAGGTGAGCATAAATATGGAAAGCTCAAAATTATACACACGCGCGCACATACACACACACACACACACACACTATATATATACACAAAATATGTTATATATATTTCTCATTTTACTGCTATTGACATTTTTCCAATAATCATGTTCTCATCAATAAAGGACAATTCGTACTGTCATTGGGGAAATATAAGATAATTTAGAAAAAATTGGATGAATAAAATTGCACTGATTAATATTGTATTTTTATCCCTTTATCTTATAGTATTGCAAAAACTATATGTAGTATTAACAGTATTAATTAATATTATATATTTTAAAAACTTAAAAATGAATTTGAAGAAAAATATGATTTCTTACAATTATTTGTAATCAATTTATGTATGAATTTGAAAATGACCCTATATGATTATTAACCTTCCTTTCATATTCCAGCTGAAGTTAAAACAAAACAAATTTTTCGAGAAAAAGTATGGACTCATATGGCCAAGGAGGAACTTACAAATTCCTTTCGAAGTTTATGCAACAGAATACCTTATTTCAAGGGAGCTACTGAGGCTTCACAGCGTCTTAGTGAATTAGATGAATTTAAAAATGCTAAGTTATTAATGATAAGTCCCGATAAACCTCAAGAATCTGTGATAGTATCATCTCTACAAAGGGAAAAAGAGATTCTAATTCCAAGGCCAAGATTACTAACTGGATTATTTCATAAAGTTAAAAATGCCAATGGCTTGCCCGAAGAAGAGATAAAGAATACTATTACCAGACATAATATAAAACAATTAGAAAGCCCTGTTGATTTTAACACTATTGGTCTCAAAGTATGATATTTTTAATTTATGTTATGCCAAATATACTTTCTTATACTTAATTATATCATAATTCAAATATCTATTATGAATCTTATGATTTGTGGTATTAAGGTGGACATGGTTGTTTTGGGATCAGTGTGTGTGAACAAAGCTGGTTATAGGATTGGAGATGGTGAAGGTTTTGCAGATCTAGAGTTTGCTATTTTATCAAGAATGAAAGCAATAGATGAAAATACTATTGTTGTCACTACTGTGCATGACTGTCAAATCCTTGATTATCTTCCAAATGACATATTTGAAAAGCATGATGTACCTGTAGATATAATTATTACACCAACTCAGACAATTGTTATCAACCCTAAGACTAAGAAACCTTCTGAAATCGTTTGGCCAATAATCAGTAAACGAAGACTGGCAGCTATACCAGCACTGAACGACATTAAACAATCCGAGGAAAAGTAAGTTGATAAACGATTTTTCAATACTAAGTATTTGTGTATTTTTTCTTTTTATAGAGAAGGGAAAACTGTGGATTTGAAGGAAGAAGATTCAGATATTGAATCTCGAAATAAAGAGAAAATCCGCATAAAAAAAAAAATTATCAAGTTGCGGCCAAGATTAAGCGAGAGAAGAGCTGTTCTACAGTCTGATTCTACACTCAAAGAAAACGATAAAAACAAGGACACAAGGCGAAAGCCTTTCCCCAGAAAAAGAAGATTGCCAAAATCAAAAGAAAATGATGAAAACGCCGAAGAAAAAGTTAGTATTTATTGATTACTATGATAATATTAGCAAATCAAGATTTATAGTTACTCGTTTCATTTCTGTATTAACTTCATTTACATTATTTTTTAATTATTTTCTATGTAAACTCAGTTAAAAGATCATCAAACAAATGCCAAATCAAAGCGACACCGTCAACGATTCAATGGATTGCGAGATCGCGTGGATTTTTCTCTACGACTATCAAACATCGCCTCGTCTGTTCGAGTTCGCGACTTAAAAAGTGCCTTACTTGAACGTGGCGTTAAGCCAAGTAATATAATTTGGCGTGGACAACGTGGATTCTGTTATTTACATTTCGGTAAACTACGAAAAAAAAGCAACGAGGAAATTCAACCGGTGCAGGTCGATTCTATCGTTGCTAATTTGCAGCAATTAAAAATTGGACAAACTGCTGTATCTAACGAGAACTCCTTTATTATTGTTGAGCCAGCCGAACCAGTAACTAGGATTGAAGTTACTGATGTTAGTGCTGTTTAGTTTTGAAATGCATTAATATTATTGTTTTCTTTTCTTTTTGCAAAAAAGCATTCTTTATTTTTTTATTTTATTAACTTAAAAAGACTTGTTTCAATTTTGGTAACATTGATTGCATTAAATATGAATTTTAATATTAAGTATAACAATGCATACTTATTAGATTTTTTTGTAACTTATTATTAGATTTGGTATTAATTATTCATTAAGTCATATGAATAAATGGAAACATCGTCCAAAACCAAACAAGATCGGAAGAGCAAACAATTATAATGAAATTTACAGGTTTTTAAAAAGCTAGAGATTAAAAGGTTGACTGCATTGCGTTTAGGCTTTATATAATTTGAGTAATTAGATGTACATGACGTGATATAAAATCGCTTGCGAAAATTTTAATTAAAAAGCATTTATTCGTCCTATTACAATTTTCAATGTAATAATTATTAGGCTTCTCTAACTTTCGTATTTTAGCGTTTACCATTGATTATTCTTTCAAATTTGACATAATCTTTTTATTATTTGATGAGTAATTGTGTTTAAGGCCCCTCATCGATATCTATAGATGTACGGTCAATAAAGAAATTTTATCGTGACTTTCCTCCAATTGTTTGCCTAAAATATAAGTCAATGGTACTCGAAAAAAATTATCATCGACAAATGTTCATACCGACAAATCTTCATTAGGACTAATTAATCTTTAAATATTTTGATTAGTGGTTTCTTCATAAAAAATTTTTAAAAAATCAATGATGTTCCCTAAATTAGTTTGGTTATAAGGTGTGATAACATTTTGTTTTTTCATCGTGAATGTAAACATAAATGACAGCCGAATATTACAGTTAATATTTTGATTTTTTTATTAACTAACTACTGCTTAAAACACTCCAAGACTGATTAGTCGCACTTTAGATATGAATATTTTTCAAAGTCCATTTTCCGACCACCTTTGTTTTATATTTTAGACAAACAGTTAGAATTACGAGACAAAGTTACGAAGAAACTAATCCATTGACTGTGTATTTATGAATATCGATCAGGGGTCTTATTTTCAATAATCTTATAATATGGAATAACTTAACTATAATAAACTAACGATATTCCACTTTGGCATAAGATTTCCACGTGTGGAGATTAGAAAATACTAATAAAATAATCCATACTTACATTATATGAGCAATGTAATAATATAAGGTTTTGCATTATTGATAACAGACTGAGACTAGCTTGTTACAAAGTTGGAAATATTTTGAGAAAAAGTATTTTCCTGATGTATTAAGAAGATTAGAATAATCTTTGATAAATTGATACATGAAGTCATTTCGGCAAGTGTCATACATTATATTATAATAAGAATGGAAAGCGCTATTTACCCTTAGAAAACTTATGCTACTTTTCCCCATGCAAATGTATGTTACGTTGTACATGAGCTGACAAAGGGTCTCACAGTATGATTTTGTGATATTAAAAAATATTTTGTTTTTTTTTTATAATATACTTCAATTAAATCAATGATAAATTATTAATTCCTTGCATGTTTAACTTATAAAAAAATATTTACTTTTATTTTTCTTAATTTTAATTTTTTTGTAAATTCACAATTCTATGCGTGAATATATGAATGTTATTCTAATAATAAATACGCTTATTTTTGGAACTCTAATAAGCATGTAATAATGTGCCTACAACAACAGAATAAATAATAGTTGAAAGGTACTGAATTTGATAAATAGTACCTGTCGTAAAAACTGATAATAATATTTCTATATTATATCATAACAGTATATTCGTATTGCGTAAAAACTGACACGAAATTATAACTTGAAAATTAAAATTAGGCTGATCAAAAATTATTTTTCTAAGAGTATTTTTAAATGAAATCATAAGACATTACATTTCAATAAGTGTGCCAAAAATTTTTTTTATGAAACGATTAATAATACTTGAACGATTTCTAAGAAAACATTGAACTATATTTATGCGTTTATGTTACAACCTTTGTAGTTAGTTATGCTATAAGTGCTTAATGTAATGATTGTTTTTTATATTATCCAGTGATTAATGTTGAGTTTCTTCAATAAATTTGTAATATTAACAAAATGTTATCTATTATTTATTTTACCATTTTTAATAAAATTATAATCTATACGATAGGAATATATGCAATAAGCGATATTGCAGGGTTTTTATTAGTCCCCCGCAAAATGAAGCAAGATGAGGTATATATATTTTATTACATATTTACAAATGTACATACTAATTTGATTTTGATATCTTCAGAAATATCGAAGCAGTAATTAAAAAGTAATAAGATTTACATTGGACAGTGTAGAGGCTGCAGCACTGTTCTAAATTAAAAACAAAAAGTTCGACCAATAAACAACCAGCAATATTTACGAATAGCTAGCTTTGCAAAAAAACAATAAACACAAATGTTGATAACGTTAACATACGCAATTTATCCGTATTGAAATGACTAAGCTTTGAGAATTCGAAGCATGCTTGAAACGTTTTTTTATTTTTGCAAGAAAAAAGCTACGACATACATATGATTGAGCAAATTCAGTTTTCGCTACTTCTTACTTGCTGCGAGAAAAACTTAAAAAGAAGAAAAAAAGAACAAAAAAGATCATTAATAGACTTTTTTAAAGAAAAAGAAAGGAAGAGTGAGTGGAGGTGCGAATCGTGTTAACGTCTCCAATTTTTCATAGAGCTTGTCGAGGTAATAAGAAGATCAGCTAGCTTGGGTTACCTTGGTAACGCAAGGTACGAGCCTGACTGCTGGCATCAGTCTAGCTGGCGGTCTTTAACCGTGTGCCGCATCGCGTATATGTGTACTTGGGCACGCGACTCTACTTCTCGCTGGTAAAGAGACTCAGTGATTGCGCTTTCTCGGCCCTTTGACGACGAGCGAGCTAAGCTTACCGAGTTTAGACCTTCAAGTGCAGCTGGCATTTACTTGCTGTGGGCACACTTAATCATCTTAAGAAAGTGAATGTTATTGCCATTGCTCTTTTCGTCACTTTGACGACTAACGCCGTGTCATTCTTCATTGTTCGAATACTGATTTCCCGTCCTTGCAGATTACTTTGACTAGTATTTACTATCTTCAAATAGTCTAATTTGTTTGATATTCATTTTTCGTTTTCATTTTGCAATTAAAAATAACACCTGATTGAAAAAAAAATTTTTACGTGATATTTGTCAACTATTTAAGTTCAAATAAAAATATAAAATAAGTTTTCTGGATCTATATAACAAGCTGTGACAAAATTTTCTTGAATTGAGTTATAAGTTTCTTGTAGTTCGGAGCTACCATAAGTATACGTTATTAAAAATTATGTTGAAAAAATAGGATGAAATGAGACTGTTCTCGATGAAATATTAATGAGTATACTCAAATGGAAAGTTATTATCATCTCGCTCATGAGTTCTCATAATAACGTTAGTGTAGCTGCACTCTTTTATAAACAAAGTATATTTTATACAGTATAATTAGTGATTCGATGTTGTTTTTATATAAATACGCATTTACGTTATTAATCTAATTTCGTTTCATTGACATTCACACATCGTCAGCTATAAAAATCCAGTTTTCTTTGAAAAAGCTATACATATCGCACGACATGCTATTTTACGAAAATATCTGTTATTCCTATCATTCCACATTTATAGAGATCGTAGCAATATTATCACAAATAAAAAATCGAACAATCGTGTCAATAGGCATACAATCATGTGACAATTGCACGGGTTTGTAAATTAATTGTTGACCCAGGGAAATCTGAGAGCCACACTAAAAACATATAGTACATATTAAAAAACACATAATTTTGTACAGAATAGCATAATAAGGATGAACACATAAAAACTGTATGGTGTAATTCTTAACGTAAGTCGAAATTAATTACGAGAAAATCACATTTTCGTGTCGGCTGATATTTTTGCTTTAACGTAATGTAGTTAAGAAGCCAGGTATGGCCTCGTGGCCTTTTCAATTTTAATTGATCAACCAAGGCTTTTTTTACATATTTTGATCTGCCAAATTTGTATTATTTAGATGAATTCTCGCAACGAAAATAGACACGTATAGAAAAGTAGGTCTTATCTATATAAAAAACTCGATAAACTAGAAAATTGTCTGAATGCTTTTTTATTTTTAATAGCTTTAGTTTTATATATTAAATCAAGAAAAGTTAGATTTATGTTAGATTATCATTTTATTATCTTTTACTGCATTTTTAAAATCTCATTATGTCTATACCAATCTTTCTTAATGATTTTCCCTAATGTATTTCTAAACGTTTGAAAATAGTATGTATATTAAAAATTATTTTCTAATACCTTAAATTAGTTAAATAAATTTATAAAAATTACATTACGATTATTTATACATATGCTGCAATGCTTATCATTAACTATTTTATAAATTTTTCATAACTTTCCTTCTTGCCAGATTTATCTTCCAATAGTATCAGGTGCAAATCATAAAAACAAAGTTTTGAAAAGAATACTGAGATGACGAGCTGTATTTTTGTCTGTAAATGCATAAAAGTAGACAGAAGAAAAAGATAAATATTTGAGAATCTTGTTCTATCGAAAGAAATATTGAATATGCATATTTCAAAGAAAATTCTAAGTTTCTATCATGTCACACTAAAATTCCTGCTTACATCACAAACCCTATACATAAAAAATTGTGTGGGCCACATAAAAACTATTATGCACAGTAATATGGAACGAGTCAGCGTGTATCGATTCGTACGCTATGGCTATGTTACTGTGCACAATAATTTCTGTGTATAATAAAACCGAGCACAATTGTCAGTATGCCACCTCTTGAAAGTACAATCTCTCTCGCTTCGAAAAGCTTACGCTATACTCGCGCGCAGCTGGCCTTCGCCTAGACGAGCGAGAGAGTTATCAAATCTACGTACTGTTTGCACTTCTCTTGAAATTTTCTCACTGCGTAGCATCAAAAAATTTAACATACAAGAGAATCAATGTAAAAAATTAAAGGATTTGATAATTTAATAAAATGTAACTCGCAGTAATATCTCTCGAAAAACTCTTTCGAAATTCGTGATTTTACTCCAGATCGCAGGAAATTTTAGGATTTTGGACAGGGAAGTTACTCTCCAAGTCCTTAAAAATACGCTCTGTGCAAACTAGCACGGAGCTCTCTGACTTGAACCAATTGATGAGAGAACCAACCAACAGATCACTGGATCAGTCACTAGTACCAACAGCAGTTTCTCATCGGAAAGTCAAGTAGCGAAGCGAGCAAACGTACCAAGGACTAAATATTAAATGTTGTTGTGTGCAAAACTACAAATATTGAACAGAAGTTTTTAAATAAGACATAAAGAGTAAAAAGGGCTTAAATGAATTTTTATCGGTTCTTTAACTCACCCTATTTTTCAAGTATGTAGATACCACGATCATCGTTTGGACCTGTAGACTTAGTGTGAGTTGGATGTGGGGCACATTTATTGTAAGAAATTGCTTAGTAAGATGATTGAACATGTCGCATACTTCCCGTAGGCGATGTTTAGGTGTCAGGGTAACCGCAGATCGGCGAGACATTATCCACGAGGGTGGACAGCAAGCTTATTGAGATCATTGAAAATACAGCTCAATTATGGTAGACGATGCCTAGATGCCAGGGTGACCCCCCAGGTCAACAAGATAAAATCTTTTCGCCAATCTTATCAATGGAATCTGATTTGTTAAGTTGCATTGAATTAACCAAGCTTTCAATCCTAGATAAAACCGACACGCAATTACTTGACCAACTTTACATTTGCCAATTTAATGAATTTTGCTTAAGAAATCAGGTACAACTGACGAAGGCAGATCTGACATTTAGTTAATACAAATTTGTTTTTTTTTACTAGGTTTTATCTACGAATTTTCGAAATATACTCGTGAACATTGAAAAAATTGGTAGAAACTAATTATTGAAAAATAATTAAATTAATGTTGACTTCCTTTCTAATACTGATGAGTATTTTTCGTTAATATTTACTTTGAATAAGAAGAAAAAAGTCTAAAAGTCTTAGTAGTAAAATGAATTGCTGTAATTTTAGTCCTGCGAAAAATTCTTTTTTTAATAGATTTTATCATATACTATCCAATCGATAGAATTCAAATTTTGCGTTAAAAAAATATTTGGTAATCCTTATATAAATTACAGACGTACAATGAATACATGCGCTTGTTTCATTAGCTATATCTACAGTATGGTGATCGTGAATCCAATACCTCACATGTTAACGAGCTCGTCCATACTTCACTACTTGTAATCAAATAATGCAGTAATACATCAATCTTCTGATCCTTTGTTATATAGTGCAACAGAATATAACACCATCATCTGTTCCTTTCAAACATTGAAAAATAGCAGCATCCTACATTTCAGGGGAACACGGATCTTATATGATGTTTTTTTTAACGTTGCTTTTACATAATAATCGAAGTGTATTTTAATAAAAGCAAAGAGTTTCATATCGTTAATGTTTTTTTAAACTAACTAACGAATAGTGGCTCAGTGAATAAGAACTCGAGCTTCTATGTAAAAGGTCGTGGGTTCGAGCCCATTTTGATCATGTGAGGGTTTTCAAAAATAAAACTTTCATACGTTTGTTACCGTTTTTACTTTAAACTGTAGGTCTCGTTATGATGGGTGCAAAACTTTCTCCCCCTGTACTATTTCAAAAAAATGGTGGGGGAGGTAGGTCTACTTACTCATGCCTATAGGGAGCCAAGGCTAATGCGTACAGATTCAGTATACCTCTGCAGCGTTCCACGTGGACGTAGTTCTTGAAGTTATAATAATAATAACAATTACAATTAATATTATTCTCTATTGCGCATTGTTTTTCTTCCCAGAAGTATTTGAATCTTTTACGGCAGATACACAGAAACTAAAGAGCTATTTGGTTTTACTTTTGACGTGTGTATATTACGTTAGATAATTTTGGTTAAAGTGACCAACACAAAATAGTTCCGTTTCAAGAATAAAGAAAACCTTTCTAATTGATTATTTCAAAACAGAAACACAGCAGCAATTCTTAGTTTATTGATGAATAAAAAGTTGCATCACACTCGTCTATATAATTATATAGCTGCCTTCATATGTATTATATATATGTATATACAAGCAAAGACTAGGCGGTGCCGCGAAAGAAAGTTTCGCCCCCTTCGAAAGTTATCACGCTGAAAAGTTTGGAGCACTCGTTCATATCGTAATCTTGTTTAAAGGTTTTTGTTATCATTTCACCAAATGATGCGCGCCAAAAGTTTCATAAAAAAAAAAGAGAAAATGTTGCCAACTAAGAAAGTTCATTTGCCAAGATGCAAACAGGCGAAGAATAACAAATAATTATGAAGTCTCTTACTCCAACCAGCTGGCTTATACATGTTATTTTCATTGTAACTGTTACGAGAAAATCAGATGAAGAAATACGAGGATATCTTACAAGAGTATAAGCTTGCGCAAATCAAATTAGCCTGCTTGTAAAAGAAAGTACGATTTCTACTTTTGACAACTGTTATGTATTACTTTGTAAATTTATATTTATGTTTCTTTTATCAGAAAAGCTGTTCTTTTTTATTACTTTCTGCATTTATTGGTTGCGTGTAAAAAGTGTTTTACGGTAAATCTTTCTGTTCTAGACGTATACCCACTGTTCTAATTCGAATCGTAAAAAAGTTTCTACAAAAACTTTATAGTATATTAATTTCATTTTAAACTGCTTGTAACAGTAACTTTTATATGAATTTACTTCCCTGGAAGGACGGTGACGCCATTGAAACTCTAATTGGAATAAGTTTCACAATGAAGTCATATACGTACATGGAAAAAAATTGCGATGTAGATTTGATTAAAATTTTTCATTTTTCTTTCTAGTTTTTTCTAACATTTATTTGTACTTATTATTATTAGAAAAGAAAACATTCGTACTTAAAAGTTAAAAGAAAATTTTAGTACCTTTGAAACAATTATAAATACACATTTGGTTGGAACCTGAAGTAACAAGATCCCGCAGTTCAATGTACAAGGTACATACAGTCTTTTGAGAAAATTAAAAAGTTTTTATAGCTGCACTTAAACTAGAGAAGAAGTATACAGTAAAGTTAGAAAATTAGGTATGTACAAAATCAATTTCATTTGAATTTTTATTGCTCATAAAATAGCTCTCATACTTTCAATCTTCAATTTTATTTTTTATGTATGCAGCGACGTTTGAAAACCTTTCCTGTTATTTCTGTTTCTAGTAGCCGCGTGATACTGATTTAAAGAGTCTTTTCAATTTATTGTACAGAATTACATTAAATACAAATCAAAAATATTTTCGAACGTTTGGCATATACGCATTATTTTTAGATATGTGAGCATTTCGATCCACGTGATATTTTTTATAAAAATATTTGTTGTAAGTAAATATACTCTGATGCGTGAGATATGAATCTCGTATAATTACAAATTTAATATCTGCATATCAAGAAATTATAAAGAATTGGGCTATAAATATTTTATCAATATCTAATGGACGTGTATGTGTAGATCATAAATAATGCGGAAAATAGTCTAAAAAAATAAATAAAAGATCTAATCATGCAATTTATTATTTCACATTTAACTGATGCTCTACAAATAAAATGAAAAGAATAATTCATATTAGGAGAGATTCGATGGATTAGATCAACGTGAAACATTGAAATGTTTGTAAAATAGCTTGTATCTATATTCCATAATGTAGTAAAATCAAATGTCCGAATATAGTTTTGAATAGTTTCTTTGTTATTCAGGATCTTCTAACGAACGTTCTTTTGTTTGTTCATATATTTAACTGAATCTGTCACCGATAATTTTTCAGATATATTTCTACCACCTAAGCTATCTTACTGTAAAATAAAATTTCTTGTTATAATATGGAATTTAACTTTCTATAAAAAAGTATTTCTCGTATTAAACATCTATCATGAATAAGTAAGTTTTTTTCATTTATAATTTATCAATTTTCCTTGATTCCATCATTAAAAATAGATAATTAACTTATTTTTAAAATGTTGTATTAAAATTAAACACCACACTCGCACATGATAGTTTGCCAAAATAAATACTTACTTATTTGATATAATAATAACGTACGGTCTTGAACAAAATTGTATCATAACAGACATGCAAGCGAGGGCTTTAATCTCATCAACATTGGTGTCACGAATGGTAGCATGATTGGATGGAGCAGGCATGAAGACGAATGAGAATGTAAAGGCAGACTGAAAAGAGCGGAATGCTACTGCCAGTTGCATTCGAACTAAATTTCTCTTCTTTCAATCATGCAATAAGCGGTACTTTGAAATTGCCTCTTTAATTTTCAATACTATATTGAGTATAACATTGAAGAAATTATTTAATCTTAAAAAGCTCCGAAGGAAATTTACCTTTTTATTAAAATAATGTTTCATAAACTGAATTCAATATTGTCTACAATAGATTTTTTAAGTTTTCTATATGTCGTTATCTCACCTGTAATACATGATTATGAAATAGGTTTTAATAATAATAGGTATGGCATATTTGAAAGTACAAACAAATTTCAAAAAGTGTTCAAAAAACACAGAGTATATTAGTTTTATGTGATAAGAGAGGAGATTTAAAAAATAAAAATAGGATGATAATTGAATTTAAAAAAATATTTTAAATATTTACTTATATCATATGTATATGTTTTGTCGTGATGAGTATAACTCACTTTTTTTTAATTTTTATTCTATATAATATCGATAAAATTTAAGGATGATACATAGGTTGAAGAAAAATCAAGCAACACATTTCAAGAACATCATTTTGCATTTTAATATCTGTATCAACATAACATGTACTAACGGCACCATTTTGACAAATACAAGAACAATCATTTTTCTGAAATGACAGTCACTTTTCAATAATAATAACTTATCCGAGACCAAAAATTTTCTGGCTACAAGCTCAGTAATTTCCTCTTGTAAATTCCTGTGTGAAAATATTACAGATAGATAACTATTGAGTTGCCGTGTTAATTTTTGAAGTGGCTTCCCAAAAACATTATCTATGACCTGGAAAAATTATATTTAACAAGCTATTTAAATTTGGGCTTCAAATTATTGAACGTTGTATAAAAATAAACTCGGTTTTTTTTGTAGAAGGAATAAAATCAAAAAGTTTGATCCAATTAAATAATTCAGATACCTTGTAATAAAATCACAGTCTTCTATCATTCATCAATTTAAAAGAAAATATATACATCAAATGATAAATCACACAGAGAATATTGAGAAAATATAAATTAAAATATACGATAAAAATATAAGATGTTTTGTTTACACCCGTTTATGCTATCCATTTTATAAAACCTCCAATATAAGCTATTAGTGAAAAATGTGCGTTCAATTTTTTACAAATTTATCATGTATTGCTATTCTAAAGTTCCAAATGTGTATCTCAACGGAAGACTGTTATATTAAATGCGATGATAAATATACACAATTTATTTCGTATAATACAACACAATTGCTTTGATATCAAAAAAGAAAAAATTAGTTGTATTATTTGAATACTAATGAATTTAATAAAATTCGAAACATTTAATTCAATGTTTCTCAAAAATATTGTATTCACTAAACATATATCTTTAACTATGAAGTATAAACGTAAATTAGGGTTTTACATCAATAGTTCAATTATAATGTTTCGTATATATAGGTTTAAGAATAATTACAATACCAACTATAATTTTATCATTCTTTTGTCACTCAAAAAGTGTTCAATTACGTTATTCTTTTCAACAATATTAAAATTTACATAGCTAACTTTGAGTTGATTGTTGTAAGACTCAAAATACATTTATCACCATTTAAAAAACTCTTGTATAATTTCTATCCTTCAAGTTTCAGTATAACAGAAAAGTTATTTCAGACTTAATAAAGATTAGTTTTTGTGCTACAATAGATTAATTCTGTTGACCTTTCAATGGTTTATAGTAAGAAATAAACTCATATAGCTATTGGACGAAATGTTAGAAAACTACTTTTACTTTGTTGATTAATTTTTCCATTGATAAATACATATATTTCTATGTAATCGATATATTATTTGTATTTTGTAATTCATTACGTTAAGGCAGATTGAAATTTGAATTTTTTCAAATGTAAAACTTAAAAGGCATTTTGCATTGTAAAATACTAATAAGTATCAATTGCCGATTGATCTTATTAGAAAAGATGATGCGTTAAATTGGCGAAAGGAAACTATAAATTTGATTTCAAGTTATAACAATTCATCTATATAGTAATAAAGTTATTCATAGACATCAGCCATGGTGACTTAGTAACAATTTAATTTATATTAGACTGTGATTCAATAAACATTTAGTCTTTACTATTTAATTTATTAACTCGTTTACTAAACTACTTTCTGTATTTCCATAATACCAATTGTATTTTCCAAGAAAAAATGTAAAAGATTATTTGGTATCTGAAATATAAATAGAGTTCTTGTAATATACGTCACTACTTATTTTACGAAGTTACTGTATTTAAATTTATTTATATAATGAAAATTTGATTATTCATGTAATGAAAATTTGTCGATAAACTATGTGTTGCAACATAATTGAGTATGTAAATGAATATATTTCGATGAAAAATGCAACAATCACGCGCAGAAGGATGTACACATCATTTCCGTTCTAATGTATCGCATTAAGGATCGAGATATCTGAGGCAGTAACTTTTTGTAAAATGTACCCTCTAAATTATCCTTTAAATATTTACATTTGCACTAATCCACCTACTATAATTTGCTAATCGTGTCTTTTGATTGAGTGATTTGTTTTGCTTTACAAGTATAATCTTATACGTTTATGTTCGTTTATTTCGTGCAATATATTTGGTCATTTGATTTCACGAGCGCGATCGGATAATCTTTTGTCGCTGTAGAGTCCTCGGGAGTGTCGTCGCGTTTCACTGTCGCGCTCGGAGGCAAAAGCAAAAATACAGGACGAGCCCGAGCAGAGCAGGGAAGAGGCGCGCGCGCGAAGCCACGATTCGGGTCAATAATAATCGGGACACAGGGCTCCGTAGCAGCTTGCATTTAGTCATCGCGGCTGCGGCCTGGGACAGAGGCAAGAACAATAGAGGCCTGCGGGCCTGGGCGTGCCCTAAGAGGTCGACGCCTCGGGGCTCGCGTCGATGTAGTCGAGTGCAGGCGGCTGCTGCTGGTCGTCGCGGCGATGAGCCGGCGAGCTGCAAATGCGTGCCCTCACGCTCGCCGTCGAGACGCTCAATCGGCTCGCTTCCTCCTTCACTGGATGAGGCTGCTGCTGAGGCGACTGCGCTCTGAAACATACACGCCCGCGCTCATTCGTTTTCTAATTATTGGAGGGCATCGTCCGCGTCTGTCCCGAGGGACTTTATCTGTTTGTTTAATCTTCTGTGGTTATGTGGGTCGCGCTCGCCGCACACTTGTCTCACTCTCTCTCAGTGCCACTAAGCCTTCCACGTGGCTTTGAAAAATTCAACCTGTTGACACTTCATTTCTGTCACTGTCTTTTAATTAATTTAACTTCCTTTTACTTATTTATTTCTTTTTCATTCGGTTGTCAAATTTTCAAAATGGGAGCAAGCTTTTAATCTTTCTTTGTGTCCGTCATCGCGACTACTAATGAAATCCTTTTTTGTCTATCAAAAAATGAGAAACCCTATTTTTCATGACTTAGAAATAGCGTTAATCTGACTTTAAATTCAAAATATACGAGTCAAAATACGTCGAAAACTGTTTTAGTTTATGTTTTGCGTAAAATTTCGACCCCTGCATAGCTTTTAAAACTATAAGTCAGATTAAAGAAGTCAAATTGAAGCTGTTATTTATCATTTTTTTCCTAAAAAATACTGTAAAAAATTCATAAAAATCTCATTTTGTTTTTAGCAATACAATAGTTTCTGTCGGCAAAAAACGGTGCAAGAATAACCAACTCAGATACGGATAAAAAACGCCATTATACAATAATAAATTGGAAAAATAAAAATCGTGTACTTTGAAAATTTGGTAAGACTGATATTTAAACATTCGATAAAACCGGAGCAAAATAAATGCATTATTTTTTGTTTAATACATTAAAGTATGCGCGAACGAGTGTTAAATATGTGTTTCTCTAATGCATGCATTGAACATTTTAAACATCAAACGCGGTTGACTAACTCACATTAAGCTTTAATATTTCTTAGATATCGCGTGACAATAGTTACTAGCTTCAATCATTAAATTCGACTTTCAATGACATGTTCTTTTAAAATTTGTTCAACGTCCTCGGCGACTTTTTTTATAATCTCATTCGAAACTCGTTAAAATGAAAGTTGATAGTAAATTGTAGAACGGAGCTGTTGATTATTACAAGAATGATAATGACAGTTAAACGAGAAGTCCAACAAAAATACAGTAAATAGTAACGTAATGAAAAGAGTCTTGAAATGAAATTTCTAATTGAATAAAAAGAAAACTTTCATATTCAAGGGACATTGAAACGTCAGTCAGAGTGAAGCTCAATGGTCTTTAATGCGTCATGATTCTATCTAATAACAAAGTCTTGAATTTTCAATATAAAATGAATGAAAGATCAACAGTCAAACTGCACCGAATTATAAATTAAAGCATGTATAGGGTATCGAACGTATGGGTTATACAATCGATATTCCGGGTGCAGATAGTGTATAACCATAACTCGTTGCTGAGCACGGTAAAATGAGCTCTCGAGATCGTTTTCCCATCCTATCCCACCAGCACAGTGTAAAACCCACAACGATTGACCGTACGCGAAGAAAAGTGAGTTCCGATATATAGATATAGATCGAAAAGCAGTTTCTTATCGCGCAGATCTGAAGCGTATACATAAGAAGTGAGATTGAGAGAGGAATGTTTGGCTTACTCAAAAGAAGCATAGTGGTAAGATGAGCAATGAACAAGAAAACACTTGAATGCCCCGACTCCTCCGACTACGTACTTTTTCATCCCTTCGGTTTGCTCTCGCGCAAATCGACTTTCTATTCTTCGCGAGCGCCCCCTTTTCGTTCATTCCAATCTACTACTACCAAATTCCATTTTATGCTTTGATTTCGGCACACTTGCGATTTTTATAACGCTTGGCGCGCAATGCGTTTCAGTACTGGCAATTTCGTAATGCATAGTGAACGACACTCGCTCGTATTCGCTCGTACGAGAGCCGAATTATTTATGACACGACTTGTGAGCACAAAAGCAGCAGTGATTTTGGTTTCGTGTTACCGCCAAATTATTTCAGACGCTCAACTTTTCCACGCACTGACATATTAGCTTCCACGTGTTTCATCATCGAATGCACGCGTATTTCGATTCCCAGAAACGTTTCGCATTTGCTGTTTGCTGCTTCAAAATTCATCGTTTATCATCGTTCGAGTGATTTACGTGATAAAGAACTCGAATAAAAGTATTCATTTCAATACATATAAGTTTGCTTTCGATTCTAACATGACATCGAACTAACTTTAAGAAGCCGGGATAGTGTGAAACATAACGTGAGATTAATTGAATCAATCTAAGGGAAATCAATAGGTACTTACGCAGATTAAATCTTGAACGTTACCTTTTCGCGCTGATATCTTACTGGAAATACTTGATCAGTTTTGTTTAATAAGTTTGCCCATAGAGAACTGAATTAATAGCTGTATAAAAATGCAACTCGCGCGATCGAATTAAAAGGGAGACGTTACATTATTAATCATTAATAAGATGAAATTGAAAGCTTTTGATTTGACGAGAATATACATTGCGGATTTCGTAATTGCATGTGCGCAAACACATTGTCAATAACCCGGCTGTTCAATTATTTATATGAGGGGTCCGGCGAATAGGCAGCGAGTTATTGCAATAAATAATATAGCGATGAAAGCAGCGTATTCAGGCTGAATCCCAGGCAAAGCCAAGTGCATTGAAAAAGAGCTTTCCAACGCGTGCGCGCACCTCCATTATCGAGCATTAAAAATAAATCCTCGAGGCTGGATGGACGAGTGGAGGAGGGCGCGCGCGCGGCCGAGAAAATGTGCAGGCGCCGCCGCGGGAGTAGATTTAGCGCGTCCGAGCGATTACCTTGATCCGCGTTGGGGCTGCTGCTCGACCACATCGGCGTCGGGCTCGTCAGCTGGTGCCGCTTGGCTCATGGCAGTGTTGAGCTCCTCCTCCCACAGCCGCTCCTTGCGCTCTCGCTCCAGCCGCTCGAGCTCGCGTTCCCGGTTGTACACGCGGTACTCGGGAATGAAGGCAAGTCGACGCTGCTCCTCGGCCAGCGAGGCTGCGTCGCCGACCGAGTGCTGAGCGCCTGCCGCCGCCACCGGCGACTCGTCCGCCAGAGACTCGGCCTTTAGCGACCTGCGCGCAAACAACAGCGTCGCTTTTATTCCGAGCAAGTCCTCCGTTGACAATACGACGCCTCTGGCAACCGCGGGACTCCTCTTGCGACAGAAATATTTCTCTCTGCGGCAACGGCACGTCCCGCTCTTGCCAAAAGAAATCACTTTTCAGCTATATTAACTCATCCCATCACAACAAGACTCTCGTTTCAGTCTGCTAATCACGCAAGCTCCGTCGGTCATTAATCCTTATCAATGTCTTACGCTCCTACTCTTAATCCCTACTCTAATGATGGTTCAATCTCCTTCTGTCTCTCTCTCGCGGCCATTAAACACTCGACGGATCCGCTTGATGTTCGCGTACTGCCCTGGATTTATCGAATTGGAATAGCCAATAATCACAGGTTACTTGCTTTTCGAAGAAACGGCAGTAGATAAGCAATGCGGGGGTCTATACGTCAACCAGGGACACTTTCTCCTGGTTCGCATGGCCGGCGTCTCTTTTTAATAAAATTATTATTTAATTAAACGTACTCATAGAGATTTGATCGCGCTATTACTATAATTGACACAAGCGAGAAAATATAGTGTTGTACGTGTTGTCCTATACCAAGCGAACGAGAGCGGCCGTCAGCTTTCGCGGCGGAGGGGATACGGTTACTACGGTGTCCGTAGGTCTCTATAAAGATTGCTAGGGTACCTGCCAAGCTATGTGCTGGCTCAGTGTACGGATAATTGGAAGATAACAAAAGACAGTCATTTTTTCAAATTTAAACCATGTCTATTGATAATTTCTCACAAAAAGGAATTAGGATTAAGTTACACATTTAGTTTTAGATCATTTTTTCATTCGTAGTATACTAAACTAATTTTCTTATGTCGCCGCTGATTGGGTTGCACTCCACAATTCACATATGTATAACTCAACAGTAGGCAACGATATCATCGGGAAAATCTGTTCTTGTATCAAATTCAAGTCGAACATCAACTGACGTACTCTTAATTGATTCGTTCTGTTTTAAGCAATCGATAACTATTAAAGGCAATCTATTAATGAAATCTGTTTTATTGAGCATCCGTTCGTTTTCTTTTCCATAGTAGGCGCTTTGAAAATTAGCATACATGTCATATAATAGCATATTGATTTTACCTAATGTTTAGATTGATATTTCTATACGGATATCATTGCGAATTGGGAAAAAACTTTACATTATTAAAGTTGCAGTGATCAAAATTATTAGCATTAGCACACGCTACACATTTTCGTTTAGTCTAAGAATCTAGAACGATAAAGCAAGGCTTTTCCAGCTGATTAGATGTCTTGACACTCCAAACATGCTTCAATGTTAAGGGTAATTTTGGATACTTGTACAATTCCTACGTGTAATAACTCATTGTTATTGCTCCATTACGTCCTATATGATTAAATAGTTTGATTTTTTCTCGGTCTGCTACTACTATGTAAGACATTAAACATTCAACTTTGGCCGAATGAATTTAAAATTTTTCATAAGTGGCAGGATTCCAGGACGGTGTAACGATACTAACATTTAAGACATCTCTTGATCTCGTAAGAATAAGTTCATGTTTCAAATCAACAGCAATTTTTATACAGGCTGTACCGAAAGTAACTGTACATCTGGAAAAAGTATCCAGGATCATATTTTCCAAGAAAATTGTTCAAACAATAGTTGTAGGATTGGGTTTGTTCCAAAGAAATAATCGATGACCTCAGCTCTGACTTTGAAGGTCTTTTTGGAAGGTCATTTCAAAGTCGACTTTTTTTTTAATGGAAACTCTTATTTTTCATTTCGGAAATGAAAAAAGCGAGGACCTTGAGTCAAACTGGACCCTGCGGGCAATTTGAAAGCTATAATAAATTGAGATGCACCGTTAGTTAAAGTCATCGATTATTTCTTTGGAGCTATAACTCTGAACAATTTTCTCGGAAAATGCGATCCTAGGAAACTTTTCCAGGTGTACAGTTACTTTTGATACAAAAATCAATTACGACCTGTAAATAACCTTCAGGGTCTATTTTGTACAAGGTCTAGGACATATCTGAAAGTAAAATTTCCCATAGACTATTGTTTGGTTTCAGTTTGAACGGCATACCTTTGCGTGTTAATATTTCTTTGAGAAAGCTTTTAGTATCTTCTATTTCGTAGCTACCAGTTGGTAAAATAATCATTTCTTGATTTTCGATGTAAATTTATTATTATCAATGTCAATATTTGGTATCAAATTAAATTTCAACAACTCAACTAAACCAAAAACATATTTTTTGCTTGGTGTCAGTTCGATCGGTGGAGAATAATGTATTTTGAGTACTAATGATCTTCTCGTGAGACTCAACATTAGTGTATTCTCTATGACAGATACATATCAAGTGACAGTTATTTCTTAAACGAGCGTTTTTTATACTAGTTTATTCTTCTATAGTTTGTTTAAAAGAAATTTGAGACAAAGATGGCCGCAATTATGTCTTAAAATCTTAATATCTAATGTAATTGTACTTAATTGTATTGACTTTAAGATAAAGCAATAAACCTATAGGCGGTTAAAGATCACCAAAACTACTATCTTTCACCCGCATTCTATCCCAAGTTTTTTAATTTCGTCGGCTTCGTTTCTCCCTTCAATGTTCTCTCAATTCTAAGAATAAGTAATGTCGTTATCTTTTTAATCAGCGTCTAACGGATTTTTTCCAGAATCACCTTGAACGAGTCGTTTTTTCAATTTAGTTCCCGATCCGCAATATTGATAACCAGGCAAAAGAGCTTTGAATGGCAAGTTATTAATGATCTTGTATACTAAGCCGCCACCAGTTTTTCTTTTACGATGAATAATTATACTTCTTTGGAAGACGAAGTCTTAATGTAACTAAAAATATATAACCAGTCTTTTCATAGTTCGTGGACTCATTCGTTGTTGAATCAGTGCAAATAACGTGCAAAGAACATGGACTTCAAAGGGCAACCGCTTAAGCTTCAAGTCATAAATTTTAATAGGGTGATAGAACCGAAGAAACGAGAAAAAACATGATGAATTACTGTCCGACAGTAGACGAGCAGTTTTCTGCGCACCTAGAAACTGCGAGAAAAACAACTGCCTCCTAACACTAATCACTCATCCTAATGAACTTAGATTTGAAAATGTATATGTTTACTCAAAGTCTCTTAATCAGCCCAAGTATAAATTTTTAAAAGATTTATTAGAGCAAATTGATGGTATATAGTATCATGCATTCAACGATCATGAGATAATTGTTTCATCAAATAAAGTAATTGTAAATTCCACTATGATTTTCGATGATATAACCATTGAGAAGCAGAACTATGTGAGAGCATTCTTCTGAATGAGAAGATATAAAAAAGTGGATAGTTTCTATCTCTGTCAATCATACGCTCGCATTCCGAAGCATATCATAAATCTACTAATTTTGTTTCTACAAGATGACGTGAACACATTTTCAATGATAATGTTAAATCAGATGTTTTCTTTGAGAAGTTTACAGAGATTTGTTCAAAGTGTTAGAGAGACAATGAATTCTTAGTTATCGACAGAGACATACCAATAAATCATGAACAATGTAGAAAGGGATTTGATTCTTTTGCTATAAATATTGCGGAGTGAGTGAATAAAGGTTATTAACTTAAAAGACACTTTAGAAATTACAACTGTCAACATGGCTGATTTTGAAAGAAAAAAGAAGGTGCTGCAGCAATAATCTGCCACTCGTAATTCTATCAAATGCAAGTATTAATATTAAAAATGTCTTGAAAGGGTAAAAGTAGAAGATACTTAGGAAGACACAGGTAGTCGAGGGCCGTACCAAGAAAAAGTGTAAAGTGCCCGACGCTAACGTAGATAATTTTATTGAAATGCTGTACTCAAAATCTCTCTCATAGCTCCTCCGAAACTTGACGCACACGAGCTCAAAAGCGTTTCGTGGCCGTAAAGCCAATTCCTGGCTTTAGGAGTCTGGCTCCTGGAGGCCGTTAGACTTCCGGGTTATGTAGATCGCCTAAGGCCGGAAAGGGGAAGCTGCTTAGCTGACCTGGGGACCGATAGGCTAGCGAGCGGGGGAACGAATGAGAGTGCATGAGTTATCAAGTGGACGGGGTGTGGCCTGAACTCTGCGTAAGGCCCAATGAGGGAGTCCACCCTCCTAGAGATGCTGCGGTGGCTCGAACGAGACACGCCGCCGACAATTTGTCTCCTTTTGACTCACTTTACTTTTTGATCTGCGACGGGCAAGTTACTTTGCTCTTGAGCGAAAGATTCTTTTTTGAAGTTCATTAGATTTACCTCGAGCGTTCCCTACGGGGTTTATCCTTGTATACTTTAATTGCATTTTCTTCAAATAAAAATTTAATTTGTATCTTATTTCCGCTGAAATAAAATTCGGTATTTTTACTGACCTCGTGCCTTTCAATTAACTAATAAAGCGCGGGTAAAGCTATTTTTGAAAAAACATTGAATGAAACTTTTAAACCTGCGATTGATCCATTGAAGAAACTTGTAAAGGTAGATACTGATAAAATTAACGCTATTACTGAACAGGCATTGAAAAAGAAAATCACGTTCTATCAAGTTTTTAATTCAAGAGCAACAGCTGACACTCCTAATAAACCTTGCTATTTCAATGGTACTGCTAATGAATTAAATTTTACATTCCAACCGCTTCATACTATATTTGAATCCGCTATTGCTACTGATGATGATGACTACTGCTATGACGAATTTTACAAAGTCAGCTGAATAATGCTATAATTTACAAATGTATCTACAGAACAGCAGCCGCAGCTTGCAATTGATGACTCAATTGTAGGAAACTATCTTCGATTCTGGTAAGAACCTCAACAGAAAAGTAATTTAAACAAGACAATTGATATCCAACAACGAGAAAACACATATGTGAAAGGCCATTCTCCAATTTCTTCGAAAACGATAATGTGACTAAATGACCAAGCATACAGCAAGACAATAATTGAAGTTCTAATGTTCAAAGGTTGT